TACTGCCATCTTAAAGTTGATACTTCGGCAGAATTGATGAAGAGTGCCTTTAAACGACGCAAAAACTGATGTGATTCTGATACTCGTATATTCTATAGAGAACATTATTCATATAGGAGACGAGCTCTTATTTTGAACTTGTTTGTTTTTGATTCTAACCTTGATGTTTATTTGCAGTTATTAGATATGTATGTTTTTACATTTTAGAGACGCTCTATCTTGCAGATAAACAGACAAAACCCATTTAGGCAAGACGATGTTATGGATTTTCTCAGCAGTTAAACTTTCTCTATAAAATTTTACCGAATGAGACGTATAGGTATGTAGCTTAATATTTGCAGTGATAAACTGTTACTACCAGTAGTTGTTCCTTTCTTGTAAAATACTATTAAATTAAACAACAACTCAAATTTTGTTTTTGATACATACTTACTCCTTCTACTGATTTCTCCTGGTTTTCGAGCAACTGGTGCATTTTTTTCTGTTACTGATGTCTCGCGTGTCACATTTTGACTCTGTGGACAGCAGACTATCGGTTGTGTTTCTTGAAAACCACATACGTGAGGAAATCGATTATACTTCAGATCTTCGCGAGCTTTTTCACAGTTAGCAAACAGTGTACAAACACCTTTGGCTCCAGTTGATTTTATGGTACACGTGTCATCTAAAATATAAAGCACGCTTAAAGACATTTTTAGGTACCAAAATTGGCGAATTAGGTTATAAAAATCTTAGTTTAGGTTAAAAACCTAGAGGAAAAAATATTTGCTCAACAAAACGCATACATCAAAAAATATATATTTAAAAAAAAAACATTAAACAAAACGTTATAGAAACAAATATTTTGTGTAACAAACAAAAAATGATTAATTAAATCAACGATCTATAGTTATGTCCACTAATTCTAAGTTGTCGTAAAAAAATGAGTTACAAAAGCAAACTATATATTTCTCTAAATTTTCGATTGTGAATTTACACCTTTGATCGCTTAAAACACTTTTAAGTTTTGAAAACGTTGCGTTCCACATCACAAGAAGTGATGGGTGCAAAATTAAATATTGAACAATCTACGTTTTCATGTATGTATTGTTGGTAGTATTGCCATTCTAGAATTTCTAATTTGTTTAATTACTTGTGAGTTATAAAATTTATGCTAAAAAGTTTTAAAATAAAAATTCTAGTGCTCACCATATCGTAATCTTTTGGTAAATAATTTTTTCTCAGAGTGCTTTCTGAGGGTAAATGCCTTCCTGTATATATTTATGCATAAAATTTTTAAAATCAAGACAACTAACTTTATTCCATGGAATATTTGCTGCGGTAAGTGCCCTACATAAATCACTGCAAAATTGCGTAAAATCATTGTCGGAACTAATGTTTAATAAAGTCTGTTTAGTGGATTTATTCTCGTTCTTTTTATGTGCATCGCCACTGCAGTGTTGTTCAAGGTGTAATTTTTTTTCGCACTTAAACTAGGAAACAAAAATGTGAATATAATTCAAGCTTCAGTATTTTATACTCTTGCACTGACACGAGTATGTTTTTTTTATAAAATTGAAATAGTATTAACTTAATAAAATGTTGATGTGACATCACCAAATTATTGCTATTCATACGATACTCCTATCAACTACAAAATTTGACAATAATCGGTCAATTTTTTCGAAAATTATCTGTCTAATAAAAATTAACTCTGACAGATGACAAATAGACCAACGACAGACGATAGACAGCCGGAAACGGGATAGATGTCGGTCGTTTGTAAATATAGTGTGCTGTTATTGTGAGATTAAAATAAAAAAACTAGACGTCTAGTGTATTAAATAAAGGCGGATTCATAAACCACAAGCATAAAACGATGTTTTATAACAGTTAAATAAATTACCGTCCAAAATTTCAGTTGACGTCATTGCATTTTTGGTCAGGACGATTGAATTTTGGATGGTGTTTTACCATCTACACGATATTTCTGAAAAAAATATTTTTCATTGTAAAAATTATTTTCGAGAATAGTACCTATATTCGAAATAAAAAAATGGTCGACGCCAAATGATCCTTTATTTAAGCAGACGAAATCTTTCGTGAGAAATAGACAACACACTTATTAAAAACGTTCAGTTCATCTAAGCTCAAGTTCAATTTTCAGAAATATATACAGATGAACCGTTTTGAAATATTCAAGTGTTTAGCAACCATGTACTTACGCAGAAACAAAATCTTATATTGTCGGGGCGAATACTTTGATGTTTATTTGTAGCTATGTTTATTTTTGCATGTCACCAGTTAAAATTGCCATTCTCATGTGATAAGTGTGTTTGTTATCTTTATATCCTTATTAAATTGTACCAAAATACACTGACCGGCAAAACAAACCGACCAAGTACTAATTTATACATCATGTGTCAATAGTGAATGGTTCCTTAATAAAATAACGATTATTAGTTAAATTAATAATTTTTAAAGTTTGGTTTTGCGAAATTTTTCAGGGTGGCCGATTAATTTTGCCGGTCAGTGTATATACAATTTATCGTGACAAGTTTTCAAATGTCGTCCTTTTTCATTAACTCATTAACTTTCACTATACATATAGACTAGGGTGATTCAAAAAAAAAAAAATAATTTTTTTTTTCGTGTCAAAGAGGTTCAAAAGTTTCTTTTCAACGTAAAAAAATACCAGTTAAAAGTTGAGCTCTTAATATTAATATTAAGACCGTCCGCATCGCGTTTTTCTATTTCCCATAAGAATAACATGGGAAAATTTTTGTTTGCACCTTCTGATTTTTATTGCTAGCCCGTCGTGTGTCGTGAAAAAAATTCAATCACATATTTTTATAGAGAATTGAACGCTCTACAAAAAGTGTCTCCTATGATTTTGCGAGAAACCTGACTATGATTTTTTAACCCACTGATGCTGAAAATGTTCGGAAAGAGTTTTACTGGCCTTATTATAGCATAAAATTATAAACAATTACTGTTTAAAAAACTAAATTTAAAATGTGTATAAATTTTTGTGGTGATTTATTCCAATAAGACCATCAAATTTATTGTAATGCATCAAAAACGTCAAAATTTGGATAAATTTAACTTTAGCCTAAAATAACTCTTCAACTATCAGGTTTCTCGCACAATCATAGGAGACACTTTTTGTAGAGCGTTCAATTCTCTATAAAAATATGTGATTGAATTTTTTTCACGACACACGACGGGCTAGCAATAAAAATCAGAAGGTGCAAACAAAAATTTTCCCATGTTATTCTTATGGGAAATAGAAAACCGCGATGCGGACGGTCTTAATATTAATATTAAGAGCTCAAATTTTAACTGGTATTTTTTTACGTTGAAAAGAAACTTTTGAACCTCTTTGCACGAAAAAAAAATATTTTTTTTTTTTGAATCACCCTAATATAGACATATGAAGTCTGATATAACTATACAACGAACAAAAGACCGTGTAATGTAAACCTAACTAGTCAAAATTAACTTGTGTTCTTTGAGAGATGAAGGAGAAAAGAGTTACTACTATTAGATATAATAATTATGTAAATACATGCAGAGCCCTTGCATCTACATATTTAAGCCACATTTAATGTATATATAACATTAAGGCATATTTATGTGTAAATTAATTTTCCTTTTTTGACTTTTGGGTAGATATTGATGAGCGCTTACCTATTAATTTTTGGCAACATACACCACCGAGGAAAATGGCTGTAAACAGACTCAACACAGTGTGCATCGTTATCTCATCGGACTTCGTGCGAGACTAATTCCAGATTTAATAATGTTTTTTATTTGCATCGGGAGCCAAGTGGGGGAACCTTACAAATAGTCGACTTTTATAAAATTTTGTGGAGGTTACTCATTCTTCAGGTTTTTACTTCCTTAATTACTTAATTTTGAAGAATTGTTTGCGATCAATTGTCGCAGATTCGAAGCGATGACCGTGGAAATGGTTTAGTTTGTTGAACAAGATACTTTCATTATGTCTTATTATCGCAATGGGACATTCGTAAATGAAGAGTGTGTGTAATCTATAACCGCCGGTAATCAAAAATATCTGGCCAAATACCGTGATTTGATAATTTAAGAAACATGGTTAGAGGCTCACATTACAGATGTAATCAACAGATTTATTCCAACCGGCAGTGTCACCAAAGGGAAATCTTCTGGAAAACCTTCAGTAGCTGAACAAGTTGTTGATGACTCGAGCAGAAGACGTTACAGAATATTTTTGAAAACAAAGAAAAAGAGAATGAATATGTGCATTAAACAAAATTTAAAATGGTGAACATTTTCAACATTTACTGTGATGATTAACCATAATAAATTTATTTATTTTTATTATGAGTTTTATTCTTTAATGACGTAATATATGAAGCATTTAGGGAATCAGTTATACAACTGCGTGTGGTATTTGTCGTGCGTCCTTTGGTATATAGTGAAATACATATAAAGTGATAGGCGGCACACTTCCATGACCTACTTCGACCCTATAATCATTTATAGAAACCCTGAATAAAGAAACTGTTACTTAATTTATAATGTGTTTACTGTGTTTGTCCCCTCCTTTTAATATCTATTTTGTTCAAATTCTATGGGCTCTAGTTAGAAGCTAGTCCTCATTTTGTTAAAAATATCAGGGTATGTCTTTTATCTTTATCTAAATTTTATTAACAAAATTTTAGTTAAAGGAATCTTACCGTATAATAATAATTGTTCTCCTATTATAGAATTTCATGTTATATTAGAACTTCCCAATTGTCTATGAAACGTAACAGGGTTTTTAAAAACAAAAATGAAATCCATAGTTTTTTTCTAAATTAAAATAACGGAATAAATGTATTTAAGACGAAGTTAATTATTTGATTTTTTGAAAATACGCATTTAAGCTGTTACGAGCCAAACTCACAGCTCGTTGCCGGCCTGCTAGTGGAGAAGGGGTGAGTTCCTGCGGGTGCAAAGGTCAGGTCGCTAGAGGTTCGCAAAGAAGAGAGAGCACACTGTTTTGTGTAGCGACGTCGCCAGGGCGCCACCAGTTTTTATTAAGACACAATTACAACAACAAAAAACCGGAAAAATATTTAACTATTGTAATTGCAAGCTGTTACTTAAATTATTGGTTACAAGAAAACCTAAGGTCACTAATTAAAAATAAAATAAGAGTGATAAATAACTAAATAAGTAAGCAAAAGGAAATGAGTAAGATATTAATGATAACGATTTAATGCGACTAACGGTTTACGATGAATACGAGCAATACGAACGATAGTTTAATTACGAAAGGCGATGAACTAATTAACGATAAATACGAGCGATACGAACGATGTTTACGAAACGAACAAGTTAGTTGGGGTCGTAACGAATAACGATTTGATTAATTATTTCGAGGGCTATGAGATAAACGAAGTAGGCCACACGCTCGGTAGTCCTAACGTACGTACGAAGGTATTAACGTAGAGCGAAGCGTCACACTCTTACCGATTGTTATTACTAGGTTATGTGCGAGTGCTAGTTACGCCGAACTTCGAAACGTGTTGCGATACAATAAAGAAAAGGTAAGGCGACTAATACTTAATCTTAATGCGATGGAATGGAAGTACCATGGGCACCTGCCTCCTTCGATATCCACGACGAGATGTCGAAACACAGCGGCGTCGCAGCGAAGTTCCAGTCGATGTCGAGTCGAGGTTTTTGGTGATTCTCCAGCTGTTCTGGGAGGGCTCACAACTGCCCACGACAGTTGGAATTCATAGAATTCGTTCTCCCACTCGAAACTGGCTCCAATTTTCGATCACGGGAATAGCAAGATCAGCGACAAAACAAAAAGCTGCAAGGAGAGCAAAGTCTGAGAAGATGTTCGAACTCAGTCAACCCCAAGGGTTCCACATGTCACATGCACTTGGTAAGTAGCAAAATATTATCGTTAACATGAAAATAACCATAACCACTGTTCGAAGGGATGCCAGGGAAAAGCTAATCAAAAGATTTACCTGCGGATCGACTGCAGCTTCTCCGATGTTAGCGGGATGGTCTAGTGCCCTTAACCCAAAATCCGACAAAGTCGTAGTGCTCGAATGCACGATATCTTTTACAGCGCACAAATGCGCTCCAAGCGATAGCACCTTTTAGGGGACCCAACAGATCCGACGAATGCGATTCCAAACGTAACACCAAATAAAAGGTTGCTAAAACGAACTGCAAAAGAGGAAAGCACTAACCCCCAACACCATTCAACACGAAGTACCAAAGCAAAATGGATTCCCTTCCACCTGCGATGACGTGGCAAGGTAACGAAGCGAGAATTAACGGAAGTTTGGCCCTCTAGTGGCAAACTTACGAAACGTTGAATTCCGACGAAAATCCCTAATCGATGTAACTATTAAGTGGATGCGATGGTTATTACAAAAAAAAAAAAACAAACAAGGCTATCAAGATTCCAGAAATGACGAAGACTCTAGGGGACGCTCCACGGCGTTTGTTCCCACCTAGGTAAGCAAATGAAATTCGCGAACAAAAATAACAAACAGAACGAAAATCGAATTTCAGAGTGAAGCTCTGGGATGGCGCGATCCATCCAGTTCCTTATAGCAAGAACCAAGCTGAAACGATCCAGAAGACCGATCTACAAACAGCGAGGCTGAAACACTCATCTGAGCCCCTCCAAGCTCAGAATCATCGCGACAGTCTTGCGACTGGGGGAGTCAAAAGCTCGGGACGAACCCTCCACCAAAGTTGTCCTTCATTGCCACCGTGCCCAACCCAACCACCCATGCACGAAATGACGAAACAAAAAAAAACGAGTAAACAAAATGTAATCCGATCCGAGAATGCCAATAAAAACCGAAATAGCTACTGCGAATTTTCAATTCGTAACAAAGCTTTAAATTTTGTGAACAACCACGCTATTTCATTTTTTACATAGTTGTCTTGTTAGTATACAGTAATTCCGTATACTTATAATTGCACTATTTTTTGCATTTTATACTACAAAATTTGGTCGATAAAATTTTTCAAAATTTATATTTTTACTTCCCGAGCGTAAGCAAAGGAAGTATTGTAATCGAGTCCGTCGGCCGACTCTCTACTTTTACGTTTTCTCGATCTTTCATGACCCCTAGAAGACGAAGAAATAGGTCTCCCATTTCCGTCTGTCTGTCCATCTGTCCGTCTGTCCGTCTGTCCGTCTGTCCGTCCGTCTGTCCGTCCGTCTGTCCGTCCGTCTGTCCGTCCGTCTGTCCGTCCGTCTGTCCGTCCGTCTGTCCGTCCGTCTGTCCGTCCGTCTGTCCGTCCGTCTGTCCGTCCGTCTGTCCGTCCGTCTGTCCGTCCGTCTGTCCGTCTGCCGTCCCGGATTTTTATTAGACAGATAATCTCCGAAAGTACTCGACCGATTGTTGTGAAATTTTGTACTTATATTAAGAATATCATGTAGATGGTAAAACGCTAACCAAAATTTGTCTAATCATCCCCACCACTAATGCGATGACGTCACTTCAAAATTGTACATAGTAAATGGGTTTTCAATTGTATAAAATAACATAGTCCTACACATGTAGTTTACAACTCTGAATCGACTTTTCACCCGAAACGTCCAGATTTTTGGAAAAAAAATCAAAATTATAAAACAATATTTTGAAATTTAATTTTTAATCTGCTAACCAGAATGCTTTGAAATGTTGCAGATGTTTTAAGGCTATAAAGAGCATCATAAATCTTTAGTCAAAAAATATTTGCTTATCCCCTCCAAAAACTTGATGACGTCAGCTCAAAAGTTTGTGGAATAAATCATATCTAAAATGTACAAAATATGATGAGTCTGTACTTGTGATCTATCACTCCATTCATATTTTTTGGATTTGCATATACAGGGTGACTCAAAAAAATTAATGAATGCGTAAATATATTTTATTGATTTAATCAGGAACTACAAAACCGAATGCTCTGAAATCTTGCAGATGTTTTAAGGCTATAAAGAGCATCATAAATCTTTAGTCAAAAAATATTTGCTTATCCCCTCCAAAAACTTGATGACGTCAGCTCAAAAGTTTGTGGAATAAATCATATCTAAAATGTACAAAATATGATGAGTCTGTACTTGTGATCTATCACTCCATTCATATTTTTTGGATTTGCATATACAGGGTGACTCAAAAAAATTAATGAATGCGTAAATATATTTTATTGATTTAATCAGGAACTACAAAACCGAATGCTCTGAAATCTTGCAGATGTTTTAAGGTCATAAAGAGCATAATAAATGTTTAGTCAAAATATATTTGCTTATCCCCTCCAAAAACTTGATGACGTCAGCTCGAAAGTTTGCCGAATAAATCATATCTAAAATGTACAAAATATGATGAGCCTGTACTTGTCATTTATCACTCCATTCATATTTTTTGGATTTGCATATACAGAGTGACTCAAAAAAATTAATGAATGCGTAAATATATTTTATTGATTTAATCAGGAACTACAAAACGGAATGCTCTGACATCTTGCAGATGCTTTAAGGTTATAAAGAGCATAATAAATGTTTAGTCAAAATATATTTGCTTATCCCCTCCAAAAACTTGATGACGTCAGCTCGAAAATTTGCCGAATAAATCATATCTAAAATGTACAAAATATGATCAGTCTGTACTTGTGATCTATCACTCCATTCATATTTTTTGGATTTGCGTATACAGGGTGATTCAAGAAAATAAATGAAAGCGTAAATTTATTTTACTGATTTACTCAGGAACTACAAAACCGAATGCTTCGAAATCTTGAAGATATTTTAAAATTATCATAAGCATGGTAAATTTTTGATCAAAACGTATTTGGTCGTCCCCCCTAAAAAATGTATGATGTCACCACAAAATTTTGCTGAATAAATCCTATCTAAAATGTACAAAATATGGTGAGTCTCTTCTTGTGATTTATCATTCCATTCAAATTTTTTCGAATTGCATATACAGGGTGACTCAAAAAAATTAATGAATGCGTAAATTTATTTTATTGATTTAATCAGGAACTACAAAACCGAATGCTTTGAAATCTTGCAGATGTTTTAAGGTTATAAAGAGCATAATAAATTTTTAGTCAAAATATATTTGGTTATCTTCTACAAAAAACTGATGACGTCAGCTCAAAAGTTTGCCGAATAAATCGTATCTAAAATGTACAAAATATGATGAGTCTGTACTTGTGATTTATCATTCCATTCATATTTTTGGATTTGCATATGCAGGGTGACTCAAAAAAATTAATGAAGGCGCGAATTTATTTTATCGATTTAATCAGGAATTACAAAACCGAATGCTTTGAAATCTTGGGAATATTTTAAAGTTATTATAAGCATGGTAAACTTTTGTTCAAAATGTATTTGTTCATCCCTCCTAAAAAAATTGATGACGTCACCCTTAAATTTTGCTGAATAAATCCTATCTAAAATGCAAAAAATATGATGAGTTTGTACTTGTGATTTATCATTCCATTCATATTTTTTAGATTTTCTTAAGAGGTGGTTCAAAAAAATTAATGAAGTCAATTTATTTTATTGATTAAATTAAAGGCAACACTTATTATTAGTATTACACCCCAACCAACCCAATTTGGTAGACACAAAATTTGTTAAAGGAAAAACTCGGTTGAAACATAAGGGTAGCACGCTTATTTACATCGACTTTAACATTACAGACCTGCATTTGTTTTATGCGGTCACTTGGTTCCGCGAATGCGAAATAGACATGTTTATAATCAACCAATTGTGAATTTCACCGTCAAGAATTAAAATAAAACGCAATGTTTTATATAATAAGAGGAAGTCGAAGCAATAAAACCGATGGTCGTTTTGTTTACAGTTTCTCTGTTTGACTCTCACGTATGCTGTTACGCTTGTCATCTTAAATTAAGAATGTTTATACATAAACGATTTTCAGTTGCCCTTCATATTACTAGACAGCGGATTTCTGTCGGGCTACGTCACGATTATAGGGGGGGACACGTCCCCATTATATTTATTAATCAAACGGCTAAGTAAATGAGAACGGGAATTAACAGCAGAGTGGAACGAAACAACGTTATTCTAATCTCAAATAAACGAAGTGCAGTCCGCAACGGCAATGAATTCGCATCCCGTGCGAGCCGTACCGAGTTTGGCCTTGCCTAGCCCGACAGAAATCCGCTCTCTATATATTACACACCGGCGCCGTATACGTGAGTAAATTGTTTCGTTATTTTATTGATTATAAGGAATCAATATTCAAAACGACCCAATTCATTTTCCCGAAAATTTGGGAACAGAATAATTTTATTCTTAGTATTACACTACATCTATCCCAACTGATATGATAGATTGTTACGTGGCTCTCGACCGCGACTACGCTCAACCGGGAAGGCCGTGGGTGATGGTACAAAAAAAAAAGATTGGAGCCTACAATTAATTAAATTTATTTAGAACGGGGGAGGTGAGTGACTGTGTGACTGAGTACAAACTATCGATCTAAATATAAAAAAAAACTTAAATAAATTACTATCCTAACCTTATGAGTACTTCGCGTCCGTACCGCAACAGTGCCGTTCCTGGCGGTGGCGAAAATGCCGAACGCGAATATACTTAAATAATAAAAAAAAAGTACAAGAAAATAAAATAATACCTAATACCCTATAACTAACGCCTCTCCTTCTTTCCGGAGTTCAGCACGGCGTCCTCACTTAGAAAATGGGGTGGGGCGGGGCGGCTAGTTGACCTTCGTCCAAACTTCACACAGAAAAACCTTTCCACACCAAGAGCGCAAAAAGATGGTAACACGTAGAAACGAGGAGGGAAAAAAAACCCAATGGTAAAAGTAATGCGAAAAAGAAAAAAAAAGAAAAAGGCCTGAAAAGAAGATTAACTAAATTTCAATCCAGAACCCAATCCAGTAATTACCTCTGATGGTGTGCGGCCTTAAAGTGAATTTTCGGGGGTCTCAAAAACACAGGACACACGTCCTCGTTCCCAAATGCGGTGGCCTCAAATCGTCTCTAACGCAATTTGGAGAAGAGTAATGCCACAACTGGCTAAAATAAGGGCTCTACCTCCAAAAATGGCCCCTTCGCACTGGATACCCTGAAAACACTTGCACCCGTTCCCAACGACTCGAAAAATCAAAATGGAGTCCCTCCTGGTTTTTTTTTCCTTTCTGTGGCATGCGCGGTCTGAAATACCCAAATCGATTGAGGGAGGGGAAAATATCGATACCCCGAATCAATGAGAGCTGTCAACTAACGGGCCAATTTCATGTATACAAACAAAATCAACCAAAATCGTATCAACGTGTCCTTGCAAAAATGTTGATGACGTCATCACAATTTTTTTTTAAATTCCCACTACAAAAATGTAATGAGAAAAAAAAACATAATAGGCATGCAGTCGTCAAGTTTCCGACAGCGAGGGAAGTACTGTCTAAACTCTTTAGATCAATTTTTGTCAAAGGCACGAGATTTCGTCATAAAAATTACTTTTAATTTTTACTGATTAGCTCCTTGGTGGGTACTAAGTATATCTAAATTTATGCATAAAATGTTTTGGTAGTTTCTGGGATTCTGTATTTATTAATAAGTACATATTTCGTAATAAAAAAACCTGCCTATGAAATTAGGAAATATTTACCACTTTTGCGGTTATTCCATTGTCTATAGCATGATTATATTTATTATAAAATGTAACAATTTTTAACTTAATAGGTACATATCACTGGATTTTCCGAAACGTAATAGGGATAATATTTTAATTATCATCTATCACAAGTTAATAATATTCACAAAGGCAAAAGTGACTAGTAAAATGAATACTAAAAATAGTGGCAATTGCTAATTTATTTTTTTGATAAAAATTTTTATTGAATTGACGCCTTTGTGTCATTAATAAGTCTACCACAATTATTCTGATACACTCTCTAAATTTTTTAGAAAAGCTAATTTATCATTTCTTTTGATTCATTCATTATTTTTTATTACTTTAATAGTTTCACTCGTATCATGCTATTGCTCTGCGAGCAAAGGTCTCCTGTAAAAATCATGTTATTAATCTAAGACCTCGAGCACAGGGCTAGAGTATTTCATTTGTGAAAGGAAGTATTTAATTTCTCTGAAATTTTTAAGATCTCGCCAACTTGATAGTGCTACAGTACACATTCTGAAATTAATATGTTTACGCTTATCGAAAAATGCTAAATAAAGCTGCATTGAACAATAAGCTTTAACAAGTAGTGGTTATGCTTCAGAAGAGATAAAAATTTTTATAAACCACACGTGCAGGAGTACGAGTAGGTTGTTTTATAAAAATTTAAAGAACATTTAAACCAATTTTTTTTTAGACCAATTTTTTTTAATTGCGACAAAGTAAGAAAATATTAAACCCACCCCGTTTTTCGAATCAACAAATCAGTTTAAATGCCATAAATGAACGATTTTTTAGTCTCCAGGGAGAGAATAAGACGTGTGTTGTAACGTACGTATTACTTAAGTAAAAACATCCAGAAACTTTAGTTATAACTTGATTAATACAAGAGTTGAAGCTTGAAAAAGTGAATTTCCCACATGGTTTATAGGAACAATTTCATGCTCATGACTGTTAAACTATATTAGAACCAGGAAAAGTTGAACATTTTAACATGAACTGTACAAATCAATGACATTCACACTGACACAAACCAGATATACTTTCCCACACATGACCATTACCAACTGACAATTTAAAGAGTGACATTGAATAATTCTAGTCTAGAGGATCTACCACCCTAACTGAGAATCTCTACACACGATTCTCTTAATTTATTTTTCAAATTAACATTAACCAAATGCGGTTCGTGGTAGTTACACTTAATTAATATAAAATAAATAACAGCGAGTGTGATAGTGAAAAACGGGGGAACAAAGCAAGTGCTATTGCTATTTGTAAGTTCAGTGATGTTTTCAATCTGGTTATTAATATTTTTTAATTGTCAGAACGATTTAATTTCCGATGTTGGACGACAAATTTTGTTAATCAATTAAGGGTTGTAAAAATAGTCTTTTTTCTAGATACATTCTGTTTTTTAACTACTACAATAACGAATCATCTCACTAAAGTAGCGTGTGGAATCTTAAAGCCATGAATTTGCGCTGTAAAAGCAAATATTTTATTTTAGTATAGACATTTGGTATTTTCAGATTTTGGATCCAAATCTTTTTGAAACTTTTTTTCGTAGTGAATTCCTGTGGGTTTTAGATTACATAACTATTTTCTTAAAACCGACTTTTTGGAAGGTGCGTTTGGTGAGTGGTTTAATTGTTTTAAAATAAATATACTCATTTAAGCAGATTTATTTAACCAACTCTTACTGTAAACAACATTTGTTAGAATATTCATGTCAAAATATTAAGATTTATGTCTCTATGTGTTGCTTTATTAATACCTACGTCTGCAGAATATTGGAACAGTAATCAGTCATATCACTTAGAAGGACAAAAGCATTAGAAAAATTAACTAGAAAATATCATTCTGGCGGCCAAACGATATCTTCTATCCATTTAATATAATTTGAAATTCTCACATAGACTCCAGGACTGCCGGCACAGCCTAGTCCAAACGATGTTACACCTATTATGTCGTACATGCACTTTGTCTTATTACCAGGGTGATATATTTGTAAAGGACCACCAGAATCTCCCTATAAAGAAAGTTATTTAATAGATACTAACTACAAACAAACGTTATTAACAAATTTAGGTAGAGAATCAAATTTACAACATTAGAACATTCAAGTTGGTCATTTGCGCTTACGCAACTCACTGATGCAATCTTAGATCACATAATATGATAAAATTATTTAATTTTGGTAAAGTGTTGTAAAATGGTATGTATTTGTCTGCGTCTGACACACTGTATTCAAAAGGTATCTTACCCATACCTAAAATGCTAAATAGCGCCAGCATTCTTTATAAGAAAATCATACTAGGCTCTAGTGAAAGTGATGGTGCAAATAAGAAAAGATTACACAGATAGTTAATGTGAATTTTGTAGAAAAGTACACATAACTGCTTTTAAGGTTTATCTTCAACTTCTAACACAAAATAATGGGAATATGCAGACGGTATAGAGAAAAAAAATAATAACTGACAAATTACCTGACACGTGTCTTTGGTTGCGTTCACAGAACCGGCACACACCTGGAGATTGTCTAGAATACCTTGTGACACTTTCCTATAGTTCTGATAATATATGTCACATGTACTTTGATCAAAAAGATCAAGGACTACTTTGAGTAAATCGTTGCTAGTAGCCCCATTAAAAGATGTGTGGCCCCATCCTGTTGCAATGGCTCTTTTCCTTCTAATTTTTGAGTTTAAATAAAGACATGCTGGTCTTGAATACGGATTTAGATGAGCTTCTTTTTCTAATCGTAGCAGTCCAATATCATGGTAATAAGAGTTCGGCTTGTATTCAGGATGAGGTATCCGTTCAGATATCTTAATTTCTTGTCTACGGTACGTTGATTTGAGTTTGGTTACACCAAGTCTTACCCACAGCGCATTGCCTCTGCGAAATGTTGAATACTGTATATAGGCATCCTAGATAAAATTCTGCAACCTTATAGCTTGATAATGGCTAGAGATATTGAAATTTTGTAAACACCATTGTTTTTAGCTTGAAGGGAAAAGCTTAATTTTGTACACTGAAAATATGACGCACGTATTGCCATATATTGTGATGGAAACAGAACAGATGTGTCAACACAATTACATATCTAGTGTTCATTTTTAACCGCAGGTCATGTCAAGTCAGGTCAACTAGAATAGTTTTTGCTACATACTTTAATGTTTAATTTAAAAAAAAACATGTACGTACATACCATGAAAATTAGGTCGGTAACTAAAACCCTAATCGATGAGCAGTTTGTATCGTAGATATTGCAAAAAAACAATTGTAAATATGATAACTATAAGAAATATGCAAAAATACCTAGGAAAGACCTAAATAATGGTAGGAAGACTAATAAAGACAATTATATAATTATGGGGACCAGGATTCCAAATGCATCGAAGACAAATGTCAACGTAGCGGTACGTAAAATGTGAATATATTTAGATAGAGTGGTATTAATTAGAAACGTTGACCAAGTAAAACGTCATTTAAATTCCAAATTTTTCGACAGATCTTTTGTCATAAGTAGAACCTCAACCAAAGCGTGAGGAAGCCCGGAGTTTTGCTTTAAAAGTGTGAACCGACATGGATTTATTTATTAGATCAAATTTTAGAACCCATAAATTTGGCCTAGTTAAAAAATTTGTGTTTTTCGAGAAAGACCTGAAGCCGCTGCTGACTTCAAAAAATAATAACAAGCAAAAAGTAAACTCCAATATCATACAGTAAGTGAGCAGGGAACGAAGTTATTTGAATATGTTACACAAATGTACGATGTATACTTAATAAAATGCTGTAATTGGAAACATACTTAGAAGAACAAAAAGTTATTATTTTTTGTGTCTGTGAATACTAGCTTCATCCAGAAGAAAAGCTACTGTATAGTTTTACAAATTACACGCCCTCCAGTGTGTTTTGTTGTACTGCAGCGCAAAATGGCGGAGTAGGTTTTTTTTTAAGAAATCATGTTTTTGCCAAAGAGCTATTTACCTACTTACTCAGTTTTGTAGGTTGTCTTTGGAAATTTTAAGAGTCTACTTTTCCAACGAGGACACTATATGTGTCGTAATACTCGTAATCTTTCGACCATCACTAGGTAGTTTCAGCAAGTTGTATAACGTATTGTGGTGTGAAAAAAATTAACAGCGGCGCGAAATCGCATTAGCATAATTTGAATTTGAAAAAAAAGAAAATGCAATCAAGAAAATAGTTAAACATAGGCAACCATGTGCACGTTTAGACCTTTTCTGGTAGCTCTAGGGAATTTTAGTGAGAGGGTTGGTAGAAGTTGGCTGGTTTGGTACATAGATGAGTCATTTTGTGTGGTGGTGTCACTTTTTCTTTGTTTGTTGTAAGTGGAGCATGCAGTAAATAAGTGAGGAAGCTAGGTTAATTTTAGTTGGTTTGGTAGTTGATAAAAGAGAGTAAGCCTTTATCTAACGACAATTAATCGAACCGATTGCGATGCCACAGTTTTGCCCAACACGCGTAACTAATTCTTGAGGTTTTTTTCAAGCGGAAATAAGTGAATTTTCGACCGACGCTAACACATATGTAAATTTGTTTTATTTTTTATAAATTCACAATTCATGTTAGGAATTTAATCGTTAACTATTACCAACACAATTTAACAATTAGGAATTTCTTTAGATAAACACTTGCTAGGAGATTTCATGAAATTCACTTGGTCAGGACTCGTTCTTTGTTTACCAGGTAATAAAAAAGGTTTCTAGACGCTTATACCTAAGTGTTACATTATAACACATCTTAATTCCTTACACAAGATTGCTAATAGTTCATCTACGGCAGTTAATAAAAATAACTCGAATGGACATAAAATATTAGCTTCATGTAATTTTGTTAGCTTTGCAATTTTTCACCTCATACAATTATTCTCTATCTCACCATTTTAGGATCAGTAATATTCTTTGCTGTATAATTTAAATTGAACGTAAATTTTCATGCTCTGCAATTTCTAAGCTCACGTAAAGTTTTTCGTCGGCACAAGTTTTACTTCACACAAGATTTTTTTTGTTTTTATAGATCTTTGCTAGTTTTTTTTTTTCTTGCAAATATTCTGTCGACTAATGTTTGCATCATATAAATTGTCTGATGTCCAATCTTAATCTCAGATATTTAGAACTTCACGAGAGTGTATGGCGAATTTAAATGTTGTTTATTGCCCTTTTTGAAACTTTACCATTTGTTCAGTTGTAGTTTAATATCACAGTTATCGGAATTGAACATTTAAATGGAATTTAGGTTAAATAACACATAAACACGTAAAGGAAGCGAAGTGCGCGGTTCCTTGTCGAGTTGGCAGACACGCCATCTGCACAAAAGATGCAGGTCTTAAATAGAAGTCAAGGACGATCGGGATGACGTGACGGTGTCGCCTGGGTAGCGCGGCACGTTTCTTCGTTCGATAGATGAGTGCTGGACGGCAGTGCTTATCGATACGTTAGAATCACCGCCGCAGTGGAAGAACAGCCACGACCAGGAGTCCCACACTTCTCTCATTCTACAACATGCTATGAGTAATTCTGCTGTGTTCTAAAATGATATTGAGATAGGTCGATCGCCACACTCTTCTAGCACTCTGGTGCCGCTGCCGCATACAGTTTTATTTAAATTCCTTAATAACTTGTGTGTTTGCAACCAGTTGCTTTAATTCAGATTTTTCTTTGTTTTTATTAAATTTGTGATATTCAAATATTTGCACTATTTCAGAACGTTTAATTTGATTTTATTCAATGTTTTTTTTTTGTAGCTGAGCATTAAGTGGTGTCTTCAACGGACGCAACTTAGTCGCAGCTTTTTTCTTTCTTTTTTTTCGTCATTTTTTTGTGTCCTCAATGTAAGTGTGTGGTGTTTTATGTAGCGGTAATTTCCAGCCTTGGGGTCCACCATTTGCATCTGAACGCATCTCGCCATTTTTCAAAAACACAATGTAGGGTTCCATTTTGTCAGACGACCATATCCAAGGCCAAATTTTTGAATTTTGAATTTTTCGCGGCCTTTTCAATTTTTTTCACATATCAATTTAAGGCGGGATGTTTGGGTTATCACAGTATATTTGTTTTAAATACAGGGTCATTATAAAATACTGTAGTCAACTCACCTATGAAAAACAATTGAAATTTTTCTCGTGCCGCTAATCACCAAAATGATTTCAACTCTTTTGAAATGTCACGAACGTCGAAACAAATCTATCAAATGTGTCAAAAATTGATATGCCAGGTTTACGGTTTAATTTCATTTTAAATAGACACGAAAATACGCCAGGCCAGAGCATTAAGGGTTGCAGTCACGTTGCAGTGTTATCGAGCATTTGTGAACGCCACTGCAATACATTTCAGTTTCGAAAATTGTAAATTGTCAGAAAAACGTTTAAGGGCTTTGTCATGAATTACACCTTGGAAAGTCGATTGGAGTTGAACAGAATAAATCATCTGATCTGTTTTGCAAAGAAGCAATAATTTTTCAAATAACGAAATCCAAAAAGTGAGGTTAAATTTGCCGAAACCAATGAACACGGTAATTAATTAAAAAATTACATTTTTATAGGTGCCCTGAAGGTAAAAATTGTGAAAAATCACGTAATGGACAATGGCAGAGCAAGTCTTATCACAGTTAACGAACACTACCACTGTTTTAAAATGACAATGAGTACCTAATGAGTTTTTGCAGTAAATAATTTTGCCAAAGTTGTGATCTCGCGAAAGTTCTGTTTGTAAATTGTAAGGAATGGTCAAAATATTGTGCAGACATGGTTTGTGACCGGTGCTTTTCTCTTGAAAAAACACAACTGAAATCCTTGATCTTCATCCCTACAATAGGTGAAAACTGCTATGTCCAAACATTACCTTCAGCTTTGCAGTTTCTAGATATCTGAAACATGCCAGATCTGCATAACAGGAATGTCAAAGAGGTTCTACCCAAAACACGCCCACATGGCCATCGTAATATCAAGATTTTTCAAAATTTCTATAACAAAAAAGATGAAAAAACCAATAAAATTTCAGGAGCATAGTGTAAAGAGTTCTGTAGATGATTACCTGTTGAAACAACAGAATGTTTAATAAAGATTTTTAACCTTCCTAATAGTAAAATTACAATTATTACTAAACAGTAAGTTGAAGTAAGTTTTAAATTACGAGAATGCAACTAACACCGAAAGAAAAATGAAAGTTACTGAAAATAAAAAACTTTATTGCAGTACCTACATACACTTTCTACATCCAATTTTGTTTATTGATCACATTCATTTACTTGAAAAAGTATCGGGCCTATGAATCGTCGTCTGGAAATAGCTAACCACACACCAACCTTCATTGCGTGTGATTGTGTTTCTTCAAAAGCGTGAGTATTTTCTATACACCAAATTCTGAAGTTCTGTCAGTTGACACAGCCTAACAGATGAAACCAGGCTTCATCAGAAAAGAACGACAAATCGAGAATCCCGTTATCGTCCATATCAGCTTGAAACCAACGACAATACCCAACGCGGCGAGGAAAATAAGCTGGTTGCAGCTCCTGAACCAACGAAATCTTGTATGGATGCATATGTAACTTCTCTTTTACGATTTTCTGACATGTGCTGTATGGTACTCCGGACAGTAAAGATTTTTGACAAAGCTTTATTTGGACTTTGTTCCATTCTCATCCTTAAATCTTCAACAACGTCTTCACTAACTTGAGGTCTCCCCGTCGGTTTTCACTTAGAAACGCTACCAGTGTCGTTAAATCTGGCCATAATTCGCCGTATAGCGTCTTCAAAGATTCTTCATCAATGACAACAGAACATTTCACCAGATATTCGTTTTTAGACGCCTCCACAGAGTACACTCCATCCCCATCCTCATTTAACACCCCATTACGGTAATAGGGCATGATGATTGCTCCAAAGAACTAAAAAAATCATTTGTAATACTGACCATAGTTATTCCTCTGTGTTCATTACCTGAGATTATTCCACAATGATCTGTAGTTTTGATAAAAACTGTTTTTTGAGACACTTATTAAAATTCTAACAAAGGGGAAGACAGCAAAAATGAAAACAAGAGAAGTCAATTAACGCACAAAGTGAGGGAAAACGTACCAGTAATCAATACAAACGAAAAAGTTATTGACATCTGACAGAATTTGATGAAGCGTTGAAACAGTGCAGCCGCTAATGTCATACTAATGTGGCGTTAAAAATAAAAATTCCAATATTAGTGTAATCCTTTCCACAAAACTGAAAAAGGCGGCACACAATGTCACCAAATTCATGGCCTTCTTCGACTACAATATTTTATAATGACCCTGTATAAATATAAGTAAATTTTTTTGCGGAAATTTCAAACAAACTATTGGATCTTCTGTCTCATAGTTTTATTGTATCCGAAACTGATAATAAACCAATGAAAATAAAACGAATGCCACGCACATGTTATGATAATATTATAATTTATAAATAATTTAAGTACTCTAGAAATAGATTGTAGACAAGACATTTATTGACCACCTTGGTATACTTATACTTATGAGTTATAAATCAACAACACCTAAATTGACTAAAGACAAGAGGTGTTGTAATATAGATACAGTCTTCTCACTGAGGATAAATTATAGTTATTTCTTGTAGGTGTTTTAGACAGCGTTTTACCAAGAAGAATGTTTAAACGCGAGAACGCAGTTCGAGCACGAGTGCAATACAACGGTTTATCCACAGTCGCAAGCCCAAATTGAAATTCATCGTGTTGTTTTGTGAAGTTTTGTGTTCACTGTGAAGGATGACAGTCCGAACCCATGCGCTTAAGTTACTGCTTTAAAACAGTTCTTTGTAAAAGAAACTGGTACCTAGTCCTTTGTTTCATTAAACTGATTTTTTTTATATTTATAAATTTTAATTTCTTTCACCTTCAAGCTATAAAAACAATGGCGTTTACAGAATTGCAAAACCTGCAGCCTTTTTGAAAATATTATGCAGGGAAGTTTTAACTAGGGCACTTGTATTTTATTTCTCATTAGTGTCAAAGTTCATGGGAGAATGAAAAGGGCATACTCTTAATTCATGAGAAATACAGAAATACTCCATGCGAGCTGTGCATCGTAAGTTTGATGAAATAGTCAAGAGTACCTATTTTTACTTTATTACTTTGCTTGGCATGCTGTACTTACTTAAATAAACAGGGAAAATGGTAATTCTGAACCATTGATTTCTAAAACTGGTGCCATTGTTATTAAATATCGTTTTTACCTCAAGTTGAAACTACGTACTATTAAAACTTCGGTTAATGTCAACGAAACAAACTTTGATACACTTGCTGTGAGTTGCACCCGAAATATACTTACGCATTAGCATCAGTCAGGCAATGCGCGGCTGTTAATACATATGTGCTGCTTAAAATTGTTCCACCACAAAGCCATTTTATTCCTTCGCCAGGTGAATCGTAGCCTATAGCTGCCTAAAACAAACAATAACAAATTTAAAATTTATCCTCACGTATGTTTCCTTATCTACCAAGAATGAAAAATACTGCACGTAGGTACCTCATATGTTTCGGTAGTTATGTTTTCAATGATTTTAGAAATGATGTAAACAACTTCTTGGAGGAGAACAACGTATTAATTTTGCCGTGTTCGCAAAAATGGATACGCTTGAATTAATTTATAAAATTATTGTGTTCAATTAAAGAAAAACAATATTTTTTTAGTTCGATGTGATGCTAGAATGGAAGAAAGCATAGATAAATGTAATAAATGAAAGAAAATTTGGAAGCACGAAACACTCACAGATATAAATATTTGAGTATAGTGTGATTTTCCTTCGAATTTTGTATTAACAGGACGTCGATAATTTATGAAACTAACAAAATTCGGAATTTATTACCATATGTGGAAATTCCTTTCTTCCAGCTGCTTCACCGCCCACAATTAATCTGGTTACGCGGTGTCCACATTGGTTTTTTTTAATTGGTTTTTGATTAATTAGTGCAACGGGAGGTACTGATGTTTCATAAACAAACGTAGAATAATCTTTACATTCTAAAAGGAGAAAAATATAAAGAGTTATTCACAAATTTTACGCCTAAGAAATTCAAGATGCAACCAGAAGTATAAATTCAAAGTCAACTCTGATATTTCATACGATTTTTAGAAAGGTAAACCACAGCTACCTGTTTTGTGTAACAACATTGACGTAGTGTGAGATACTGCCATCTTAAAACTCTTCGATAGAACTGATGCAGTGTATTTAAACGACGAAAAGACTGATGATTCTCGTATATGGAGGGTACTTTACGTTTTTGAATAGATAACACTATCCACATAGAAAACGAGTTCTTATTTTGAATTTGGTTTAAATTTGATTTTAACGTTGACGTTTATTTGCAAATTATAAAAACCAAACAGCTATCAACTGCGTCTGTGCAATTGTAATGATGGTTGAAGTGATGAACTGTTACAATCAGTAGTTGTTCCTTTCTTGTAAAATAATTATTAAATTAGACAACTCAAACCTACATAATTTTTCGATACATACTTACTCTTTTTACTGATTTCTCCTGGTATTCGTCTCGGTGTACAGCAGACTATCAGTTGTGTTTCTTGAAAACCACATACTTGAGGAAATCGAAAATATCGCGCCAGATCTTCGCGAGCTTTTTCACAGTTGGCAAACAGTGTACAAGCTCCTTTGGCTCCAGTTGATTTCATGATACAAATGTCCCCTAAAACATGAAGCAAGTGTATTGTAAAACTTGCGATATTCGCCATGCTTCCCCGGGTGTATGGGTGGCGAGGATATTCGTAGATTACAGTTAAAAGTTTTGTCGGTCTTAAGCAATTTATTACAACGTATATGCCACGTACCACCACTTCCTATTTCGTATAAAGGAAGTTACAAAGTTAGGAAATGAAATCAATGAGAAAGTGCAATATTTTCGTTTGTTTTAATGCTTTCAAATCAGTCTGGAAAACATGTTTTAATATAAAATATTTATTGTAATAGCGGGCGCAACCCGTATACGTCCATTAAGATCAAATCTTCGTGGGAAATGGACGGGCAAAATGGAAGAATCGAATGGCTTAATTCATGTTGATGTAAAATTTAAAAAATTGGTCTAAAGAGTTTAGACAGTACTTCCCTCGCTGTCGGAAACTTGACGACTGCATGCCTTTTGTTTTTTTTTCTCATTACATTTTTGTAGTGGGAATTTAAAAAAAAATTGCGATGACGTCATCAACATTTTTGCAAGGACACGTATATCAGTTGGGATAGATGTAGTGTAATACTAAGAATAAAATTATTATATTCTCAAATTTTCGGGAAAATGAATTGGGTCGTTTTGAATATTGATTTGTAATAATCAATAAAATAACGAAACAATTTACTCACGTATACGTATCAGAGGCAATTGAAAATCGTGTATGTATAAACATTCTTAATTTAAGATGACAGGCGTAACAGCATACGTGAGAGTCAAACAGAGAAACTGTAAACAAAACGACCATCGGTTTTATTGCTTCGACTTCCGCTTATTATATAAAACATTGGGTTTTATTTTAATTCTTGACAGTGAAATTCACAATTGGTTGATTATAAACATGTCTATTTCACATTCGCGGAACCAAGTGAGCGCATAAAACAAATGCAGGTCTGTAATGTTAAAGTCGATGTAAATAAGCGTGCTACCCTTATGTTTCAACCGAGTTTTTCCTTTAACAAATTTTGTGTCTACCAAATTGGGTTGGTTGGGGTGTAATACTAATAATAAGTGTTGCCTTTAATTTAATCAATAAAATAAATTGACTTCATTAATTTTTTTGAACCACCTCTTAAGAAAATCTAAAAAATATGAATGGAATGATAAATCACAAGTACAAACTCATCATATTTTTTGCATTTTAGATAGGATTTATTCAGCAAAATTTAAAGGTGACGTCATCAATTTTTTTAGGAGGGATGAACAAATACATTTTGAACAAAAGTTTACGATGCTTATAATAACTTTAAAATATTCCCAAAATTTCAAAGCATTCGGTTTTGTAATTCCTGATTAAATCGATAAAATAAATTCACGCCTTCATTAATTTTTTTGAGTCACCCTGCATATGCAAATCCAAAAATATGAATGGAATGATAAATCACAAGTACGGACTCATCATATTTTGTACATTTTAGATACGATTTATTCGGCAAACTTTTGAGCTGACGTCATCAGTTTTTTGTAGAAGATAACCAAATATATTTTGACTAAAAATTTATTATGCTCTTTATAACCTTAAAACATCTGCAAGATTTCAAAGCATTCGGTTTTGTAGTTCCTGATTAAATCAATAAAATAAATTTACGCATTCATTAATTTTTTTGAGTCACCCTGTATATGCAAATCGAAAAAATTTGAATGGAATGATAAATCACAAGAAGAGACTCACCATATTTTGTACATTTTAGATAGGATTTATTCAGCAAAATTTTGTGGTGACGTCATAAATTTTTTGGGGGGGACGACCAAATACATTTTGATCAAAAATTTACCATGCTTATGATAATTTTAAAATATCTTCAAGATTTCGAAGCATTCGGTTTTGTAGTTCCTGAGTAAATCAGTAAAATAAATTTACGCTTTCATTTATTTTCTTGAATCACCCTGTATATGCAAATCCAAAAAATATGAATGGAGTGATAAATGACAAGTACAGGCTCATCATATTTTGTACATTTTAGATATGATTTATTCGGCAAACTTTCGAGCTGACGTCATCAAGTTTTTGGAGGGGATAAGCAAATATATTTTGACTAAACATTTATTATGCTCTTTATGACCTTAAAACATCTGCAAGATTTCAGAGCATTCGGTTTTGTAGTTCCTGATTAAATCAATAAAATAAATTCACGCATTCATTAATTTTTTTGAGTCACCCTGTATATGCAAAGCCAAAAAATATGAATGGAGTGATAGATCACAAGTACAGACTCATCATATTTTGTACATTTTAGATATGATTTATTCCACAAACTTTTGAGCTGACGTCATCAAGTTTTTGGAGGGGATAAGCAAATATTTTTTGACTAAAGATTTATGATGCTCTTTATAGCCTTAAAACATCTGCAACATTTCAAAGCATTCTGGTTAGCAGATTAAAAATTAAATTTCAAAATCAACAATCGGTCGAGTACTTTCGGAGATTATCTGTCTAATAAAAATCCGGGACAACAGACGGACAGACGGACGGACAGACAGACGGAAATGGGAGACCTATTTCTTCGTCTTCTAGGGGTCATGAAAGATCGAGAAAACATAAAAGTAGAGAGTCGGCCGACGGACTCGATTACAATACTTCCTTTGCTTACGCTCGGGAAGTAAAAACACTTCTTAAAAACATTCAGTTATTCTAGACTCAAGTTCAAGTTCAAGTTCCAAAAACTTAGATAAATTGTTTTGAAATATTCAAGAGTTTAGCGACCATGTACTTACTACTTATCTAGAAACAAAGTGTCTTACACTATCGGGGCGAATAATTTGATGGTCACTCGTAGACACGTTTATTTTTGCATGTTACGAGTTAAAATTGCCATTCCCATGCGATAAGAATGTTATCTTTAAATACTAAATTGTAACAAAATACAAATTTATCGAAATAGGTTTTCAAATGTCTCAATTTTTCACTATTTCACTGACTTTCACTGGACATATAAAGTCTGGTATAAGTAAACAACGGGAAAAATGCTAGACCATGCAATCTAAACTTAACAAGTCAAAACAAACATTATGTTCTTTGAGATATGAAGGAGAAAAGAGTTACTAAATGCCGTTAATCGAAGTTGTGGCTATTAGATATAATTATATAAACACATGCAGCATAGGTATATTTATGTGTAAATTAATTTTTCTTTTTTGACTTTTGGGTAGATATTGATGAGCGCTTACCTATAAATTTTTGGCAATATACAGCACCGAGGAAAATTGCTGTAAACAGACTCAACACAGTATGCATCGTTATCTCATTGAACTTCGTGCGAGACTAATTCCAGATTTAATAATGTTTTTGATTTGCACCAAGAACACAAGTGGGGGAACCTTAGAAATAGTCGACTTTTATAAAATTTTGTGGAGGTTACTCATTCTTCACGTTTTTACTTCCCAAGCGTAAGCTAAGGAAATATAGTCTACTCGTTACCGATTTTTTTTTTTTTTTTAATTATTGCATATATTTGGCAGTCACCCTGTATGGTAAAATACATAGATATAAACTGATAGGTGGTACACTTCCACGACCTACTTCGTCCCTATGACAGTAGTTTAGTCTTTGCGTTGATGAATCAGTCAGTTTGTCAGTCAGGACAAACACTTTTATATACAGTATGTCCCCGGATTGAGTTCACAAGAGGAAAAAAAACTGTATTTTCTATTTTACAAAAAAATGACATAGGAATAACATTTTAAAAGTAATGAAGAACTTAGAAACATGAAAAATTAATTTTAAGAGTAGAGACCAGGAATATTAAAGTTTTAATTGCAGATTTATTTATTAAGATTAAAATAGAAAATACAGTTTTTTTCTTCCTGTGAACACATACCGGGGACATACTGTATATATTAAGATTGATTCATCATAATTTTATGTATGTTTGTTAATAAAAATATCGCTCTACAAAAATATGTGATTACAAAATTTTATTTGTTTTTTTTTTTACAAAATTTTTTAGAGGGCGTTGAACAGTAAGTTGCATCAGGGCGCTTGGTCCCTTAGAGCCGGCCCTGACTATATTACTTCAAATAATAATACTCGATGCCCTTTTTAATTTTTCAACCATAGGACCACAGATTCGTGATCTTGAAATGTTATATTATGTTGATATAGTCCAAAAGAAAATTATATTTCTAATCAAATTATCGCCGCGACAGCACTGGATCTAGCGTATGAGATACAATTCCGCGCGTTGATAATAAAGAATCATGTCACTAGCGTGTGGGATCATAAAACCGTGAATTTACGTTGTAAAAGCAAGCATTTTATTTTAGTATAGACAGTTGCTATTTTCAGATTTTGCACCTAAAAATAGACTAATCTTTTTGAAACAATTTTTTGTAGTTAATTCCTGTAGGTTTTAGGTTACATATCTACTTTCTTAAAACCGACTTTTTGGATGGTATGTTTGTTGAGTGGTTTATTTATTTTAAAATAAATAGACTCATTTAAGCAGATTTATTTAAACAACTCTTACTGTAAACAACATTTGTTAGAATTTTCATATCAAAATAGTGAGATTTATGTCTACAGTATGTCCCCGGATTGAGATCACAAGAGGAAAAAAAACTGTATTTTCTATTTTACAAAAAATTGACATAGGAATAACATTTTAAAAGTAATGAAGAACTTAGAAACATGAAAAATTAATTTTAAGAGTAGAGACCAATAATATTAAAGTTTTAATTGCAGATTTATTTATTAAGCAAAAAATGTAATTCCTATGTCATTTTTTTTTTTTTGTAAAATAGAAAATACAGTTTTTTTCCTCCTGTGAACTCATACCGGGGACATACTGTATATATTAAGACTGATTCATCATAATTTTATGTATGTTTGTTAATAAAAATATCGCTCTACAAAAATATGTGATTACAAAATTTTATTTGTTTTTTTTTTTACAAAATTTTTTAGAGGGCGTTGAACAGTAAGTTGCATCAGGGCGCTTGGTCCCTTAGAGCCGGCCCTGACTATATTACTTCAAATAATAATACTCGATGCCCTTTTTAATTTTTCAACCATAGGACCACAGATTCGTGATCTTGAAATGTTATATTATGTTGATATAGTCCTAAAGAAAATTATATTTCTAATCAAATTATCGCCGCGACAGCACTGGATCTAGCGTATGAGATACAATTCCGCGCGTTGATAATAACGAATCATGTCATTAGCGTGTGGGATCATAAAACCGTGAATTTACGTTGTAAAAGCAAGCATTTTATTTTAGTATAGACAGTTGCTATTTTCAGATTTTGCACCTAAAAATAGACTAATCTTTTTGAAACAATTTTTTGTAGTTAATTCCTGTAGGTTTTAGGTTACATATCTACTTTCTTAAAACCGACTTTTTGGATGGTATGTTTGTTGAGTGGTTTATTTATTTTAAAATAAATAGACTCATTTATGCAGATTTATTTAAACAACTCTTACTGTAAACAACATTTGTTAGAATTTTCATATCAAAATAGTGAGATTTATGTCTACAGTATGTCCCCGGATTGAGATCACAAGAGGAAAAAAACTGTATTTTCTATTTTACAAAAAAATGACATAGGAATAACATCTTTTGCTTACTTAATTCAAAACGAATAAATCTGCAATTAAAATTTTAATATTATCAGGCTGCGTCCTTAAATTTGAAAAAAACTAAAGGTAACCAACAACTTAGAAATATGAAAAAAATAATTTTTTTCACTAGCAGCCATGAAGCATGCAAATGTCGACTCATTTAGAGGTAGCAAATTCAACTTTTGCGACCACGGGTTCAAAAAGAAGAATTGAGGTTATGTACGCAATACTTGATGTGATTATTTCTTAAAAAATGAATAAATATGTGCTACTAACATTACTTGAGTATACGCATGGTAGTTGGTAAACGGTAGAAGATAAAATGATTAATTCAGTGACAAGTGTAAACGGTTTTCTTTGTGTTGAAATTTTAGCTTAAGTTTGATTAGAAATCAAAACAAAATCATATTGCGTCAAAAAATTGAAAGTTTATTTTTTCAATTTATTGTCTTATGATTTCTACTAGCGAAAAAAATAGTATATTAACCACGGTTGTAGACCTCGCGCATTCTAGGCCTCGCGCTGCAGAGGTGTGCTCGGCCTAGAATGCTTGGCTTTGCAACCTTGGCTAATAATATACTATTAAGAGTACAGACCAGGAATATTGAAGTTTTAATTGCAGATTTATTCGTTTTGAACTAAGAAATATATGTTATTCCTATGTCATCTTTTTGTAAAATAGAAAATACATTTTTTTTTCCTCTTGTGAACACAATCCGGGGACTTACTGTATATGTGTTATTTTATTAATATCTACGTCTACAAAACATTGGTACATGAATCAGTCATATCACTTACAGAGGATAAAAGTATCAAAAAAATGAAATAGAAAATATCCTATGGCCAAACTATATCTTCTATCCATTTGATATAATTTGAGACTCTTACATAGACTCCAGGACTGCCGGTACAACCTAGTCCAAACGATGTTACACCTATAATGTCGTACATGCACTTTATCTTTTTACCAGGGTGATATATTTGTAAAGGACCACCAGAATCTCCCTATAAAGAAAGTTATTTAATATATACTAACTACAAACAAACGTTATTAGCAAATTTAGGTAGAGAGTCAAATTTACCATTACAACACTTAAGCATCAATTTCAAGTTGGTCATTTGCGCTTACGCAACTCACTGATGCAACCGTAGAACACATAATATGACAAAATTATTTCATTTTGGTAAGGTGTTCTAAAATGGTATGTTTTTGTCTTTGTCTGACACACTGTATTTAACCAGGTATTTTTCCCTTACCTAAAACGCTAAGAAGCGCGGGCATTCTTTATCAGTGGAAACATAGTATGTCGGACGAAGACTGTAACCAAATCTTACTAGATTCTAGTGAAAGTGATGGTGCAAGTAAAGAGAGATTACACAAATAGTTAATGCAAATTTTGTAAAAAAGTACACATAACTGCTTAAGGTTTATCTTCAACTTCTAATACAAAATAATGGGAATATCCAGACGGTATAGAGAAAAGAAATAATAACTGACAAATTACCCGACACGTGTCTTTGGTTGCGTCCACAGAACCGGCACACACCTGGAGATTGTCTAGAATTCCTCGTGACACTCTCAAATTGTTCTCATAATATGTGCCACATGTACTTTGATCAAAAAGATCAAGGACTACTTTACGTAAATCGTTGCTAGTAGCTCCACCAAAAGATGTTTGGCCCCATCCTGTTGCAATCGCTCTTTTCCTTGTAATTTTTGAGTCTAAATAAAGACATGCTGGTCTTGAGAACGAATTTAGTTGAACCTTTTTTTCTAATCGTAGCAGTCCAATGTCATGGTAATAAGAGTTCGGCTTGTATTCAGGATGAGGTATTCGTTCAGATATCTTAATTTCTTGTCTACGGTACGTTGCGTTGAGTTTGGTTACACCAAGTCTTACCCACAGCGTATTGCCTCTGCGAAATGTTGAATAATGTATATAGGCATCCTAGATAAAATTGCGCAGCCTTATAGCTTGATAATGGCTAGAGGTATTGTAATTTTGTAAACGCCATTGTTTTTAGCTTGAAGGGAGATGCTTAATTTTGTACACTGAAAATATGACGCACGTATTGCCATATATTGTGATGGAAACAAAACAGATGTGTCAACACAATTACATAACTACTGTTAATTTTTAACCGCAGGTCATGTCAAGTCAGGTCTAATAGAATAGTTTTTGCTGCATACTTTAATGTTTAATTTAAAAGAATATGTACGTACGTATCATGAAAATTAGGTCGGTAACTAAAGCCCTAATCGATGACCAGTTTGTATCGTAGATACTGCAAAAAAACAATAATTGTAAATATGATACCTATAAGAACTACGCAAAAATACCTAGGAAAGACCTAAATAATGGTAGGAAGACTAATAAAGACAATTATAAAATTATGGGGACCAGGATTTCAAATGCATCGGAGGCAAATGTCAACGTAGCTGTACGTAAAATGTGAATATATTTAGATAGAGTGGTATTAATTAGAAACGCTGACCATGTAAAACCTCATTTAAATTCCAAATTTTTCGACAGATCTTTTGTCATAAGTAGAACCTCAACCAAAGCGTGAGGAAACCCGGAGTTTTGCTTTCAAAGTGTGAACCGACATGGAATTATTTATTAAATCAAGTTTTAGAACCCATAAATTTGGCCTAGTTAAAAAGTTTGTGTTTTTCGAGAACGACCTGAAGCCGCTGCTAACTTCAAAAAATAACAACAAGCAAAAAGTAAACTCCAATATCATACAGTAAGTGAGCGGGGAACGAAGTTATTTGATTATGTTACAAAAATGTACGATATATACATAATAAAATGCTGTAATTGGAAACGTACTTACAAGAACAAAAAGTTAGCATGTTTGTGTCTGTGAAGACTAGCTTCATCCCGAAGAAAAGCAACTGTATAGTTTTACAAATTACACTCTCTCCAGTGTGTTTTGTTGTACTGCAGCGCAAAATGGCGGAGTAGGTTTTTTTTTAAGAAATCATGTTTTTGCCAAAGATCTATTTACCTACAGTTTTGTAGATTGTCTTTGGAAATATTAAGAGTCTACTTTTCCAACGAGGGCACTATATGTGTCGTAATATTCGTAATTTATCGACCATCACTAGGTAGTCTCAGCAAGCTGTATAACGTATTGTGGTGACTGAATTTAAATTAAAATTTCGCGCTGAAAAAAATTAACAGCGGCGCGAAATCGCATTAGCATAATTTGGATTTGAAAAAAAAAATGCAATCATGAAAATCGTTAAACATAGGCAACCATGTGCACGTTTATACCTTTTCTGGTAGCTCTAGGGAATTTTAGTGAGAGGGTTGGTAGAAGTTTGGTACATAGATGAGTCATTTTGTTCGGTGGTGCCACTCTTTCTTTGTTTGTTGTAAGTGGAGCATGCAGTAAATAAATAAGGAAGCTAGGTTAATTTTAGTTGGTTTGGTAGTTGATAAAAGAGAGTAAGCCTTTGTTTAACGACAATTAATCGAACCGATTGCGATGCCACAGTTTTCCCCAACACGCGTAACTAATTCTTTTCAAGCGGAAATAAGTGAATTTTCGACCGACGCTAACACGTGTGTAAATTTGTTTTATTTTTTGTAAATTCACAATTCATGTTAGGAGTTTAATCGTTAACTATATCTAACACAATTAAAAATTAGGAATTTGTTTAGATAAACACATGCTAGGAGATTTCATGAAATTCACTTAGTCAGTACTCGTTCTTTGTTTACCAGGTAATAAATTAGGTTTCTAGTCGCTTATACCTAAGTGTTACATTATAACACCTCTTAATTTCTCACACAAGATTACTAATAGTTCATCTACGGCAGTTAATAAAAATAACTCGAATGGACATAAAATATTGGCTTCATGTAATTTTGTTAGCTTTGCAATTTTTCACCTCATACAATTATTCTCTACCTCACCATTTTAGGATTAGTAATTTTCTTTGCTGTATAATTTAAATTGAACCCAAATTTTCATGCTCTGCAATTTCTAACCTCACGAAATGTTTTTCGTCTGCACAAGTTTTACTTCACACAAGATTTTTTTTTGTGTTTATAAATTTTTGCTAATTTTTTTTTCTTGTAAATATTCTGTCGATTAATGTTTGCATCATATAAATTGTCTGATGTCCAATCTTAATCTTAGATATTTAGAACTTCACGAGAGTGTATGGCGAATTTAAATGTTGTTTTTTGCCCTTCTTGAAACTTTACCATTTGTTCAGTTGTAGTTTAATATTACAGTTATAGGAATTGAACATTCAAATGGAATTTAGGTAAAATAACACAGAAACGCGTAGAGGAAGCGGAGTGCGCGGTTCCTTGTCGAGCTGGCAGACGCGCCATCTGAACAAAAGATGCAGGTCTTAAATAGAAGTCAAGGACGATCGGGATGACGTGACGCTGTCGCCTGGGTAGCGTGGCACGTTTCTTCGTTCGATAGAGGAGTGCTGGACGGCAGTGCTTATCGATAAGTCAGAATCACCGTCGCGGTGGAAGAACAGCCACGACCAGGAGTCCCACACTTCGCTCATTCTACAACAATCTATGGGTAATTCTGCTGTGTTCTAGAATGAAATTGAGATAGGTCGATCGCCACACTTTTCTAGCACTCTGGTGCCGCTGCCGCATACAGTTTTATTTAAATTTTGTTCTCTTGTTGACTGCCATGTTTTTAAATCTGCCGCCACACTTCAGTAATAACTTGTGTGTTTGCAACCAGTTGCTCTAATTCAGATTTTTCTTTGTTTTTAATAAATTTTTGATATTCAAATATTTGCACTGATTCAGAACGTTTAGTTTGATTTCATTCAAAGTTTTTTTTTGTAGCTGAGCATTAAGTGGTGTCTTCAACGGACGCAAATTAGTCGCAGCCTTTTTTTGTTTTTTTTTTGTCATTTTTTCTGTGTCCTCCATGTACGTATTTGGTGTTTTATTTAGCGGTACTTTTCCAGCCTTGTGGTCCACTATTTGCAACTGAACGCATCCCGCCATTTTTCAAAAACACAGTGTAGGGTTCCATTTTGTCAGACGAACACAGCCAAGGACAAATTTTTGAATTTTGAATTTTTCGCGGGCTTTTTAATTTTTTTCACATGTCAATTTAAGGCGGGGTGTTTGGGTTGTCACAGTATATTCGTTTTAAATACAAATAGAAGTTAATTCTTTCCGGAAATTTCAAACAAACTATTGGATCTTATGTATCATAGTTTTATTCTATCTGAAACTGTTAATAAACCAAGGAAAATAAAATGAATGCCACGCACATGTTATGATGATATTATAATTTATAAATAATTTAAGTGAGAAATAGATTGTAGACAAGACATTTATTGACCACCTTGGTATGCTTACACTTATGACCTTATGAGTTATAAATCAACAACACCAAAATTGACTAAAGACAAGAGGTGTTGTATTAGATACAGTCTTCTCACTGAGGATAAGTTATAGTTATTTCTTGTAAGTGTTTTAGACAGCGTTTTACCAAGAAGAATGTTTAAAAGCGAGAACGGAGTTCGAAGACGAATGCAATACAACGTTTTCTCTACGGTCACAAGCCCAAATTGAAATTCATCGTGTCGTTTTGTGAAGTTTTGTGTTCACTGTGAAGAATGCCAGTGCGAACACATGCTCTTATATTACTGCTTTAAAACAGTTCTTTGTATATAAAAGAAACTGGTAGTCTTTTGTTTCATTAAATATTTTTTTTATATTTATGAATTTTATTTTATTTTATTTTTTGAACTGAAAAATTAAGTAACATCTAAGTGTTTTATATAAATTATTCTAATCGTAATTTAATGATCTACCAAAAAGTGTTAAAAAATTATATATTCACCCTCAAGCTATAAAAACAATGGCGTTTACAGAATTGCCAAACCTCCATTCTTTTTGAAAATATTATGCAGTGGAGTTTTAACTGGGGCACTTGTATTTTATTTCTCATTAGTGTCACAGTTCATGGGAGAATGAAAAGGGAATTCTCTTAATTCATGAGAAATACAGAAATACTCAATGCGAGCTGTGCATCGTAAGTTTGATGAAATAGTCATAACTTACTTAAATAAAGAGGGAAAATGGTAATTCTGAAACATTAAGTTGAAACTACGTACTATTAAAACTTCGGTTAATGTTAACTAAACAAACTTTGATACACTTGCTGTGTGTTGCACCCGAAATATACTTACGCATTAGCGTCAGTCAGGCAATGCGCGGCTGTTAATACATATCTTTCGCTTAAAATTGTTCCACCACAAATCCATTTTATTCCTTCGCCATATGAATCATAGCCTATAGCTGCCTAAAACAAACAATGACAAATTTGAAATTTTACCTCATGTGTGTTTCCTTATCTACCAAGAATGAAAAATACTGCATGTAGGTACCTCATATGTTTCGCTAAGGATGTTTTCAATGATTTTAGAAATGATGGAAACAACTTCTTGGAGAACAACGTATTAATTTTGCCGTGTTTGAAAAATGGATACGCTTGAATTAATTTATAAAATTATTATGTGTTTAATTAAAAAAAAAACAATTTTTTTAGTTCGAAGTGATGCTAGAATGGAAGAAAGCATTGATCAATGTACCTAATAAACGAAAGGAAAGTTTGAAGCACGAAACACTCACAGATCACAGATATAAATATTTGAGTATGGTGTGATTTTCCTTAGAATTTTGTTTAATGGGACGTCGATAATTTATGAAACTAACAAAATTCGAAATTTATTACCATATGTGGAAATTCCTTTCTTCCAGTTGCTTCACCGCCCACAATTAATTTGGTTACCTGGTGTCCACACTCGTTTCTTGTAACTGGTTTTGCATCAAATAGTGCAATGGGAGGTACTGATGTTTCATACACATATCGAGAATATTCTTCACATTCTAAAAAGAGAAAAACATAAAGAGTTATTCACGACAAGTTTACGCCTAAGAAATTCAAACAGAAGTATAAATTCAAAGTCAACTCTGATATTTCATCCGATTTTTAAAAAGGTAAAACACAGTTACCTGTTTTGTGTAACAACACTGACGTAGTGTCAGATACTGCGAAACGAAACGAAAGGACGAAAAGACTGAGATATGATTTTGGTATATGGAAGGTGCTTTACGTTTAGGTAGAGAACACTCTGCATATAGGAGACCAGCCCTTATTTTAAATTTAGTTGTTTTTGATTTTAACCTTGACGTTTATTTGCAAATTATCAAAACCAAACAGCTAACTGCGTGGTGGTTGAATTGATGAATTGTTAGAATCAGTAGTTGTTCTTTTCTTGTAAAATAATTACATCTAATTAAACAACTCAAACCTAAATAATTTTTCGATACATACTTACTCGCTTTACTGATTTCTCCTGGTATTCGTCTCGGTCTACAGCAGACTATCGGTTGTGTTTCTTGAAAACCACATACTTGAGGAAATCGATTATACTGTCTCAGATCTTCGCGAGCTTTTTCACAGTTGACAAACAGTGTACAAACTCCTTCGGCTCCAGTTGATTTTATGACACATATGTCACCTAAAATATGAAGCAAGCCTAAAGATACGATTCAACCCAAATTTTTAAAGTGAAACAATAATGAGCATCTGCTGAATGTATTTTGGCAGGTAATACGTTGTTCAAATATCGACAAATCTTAACTTAAAAAAATTCGTGTGAGGTTATCAGACAGAACTTTCCAAGGGGACGCGATGAGCATAAATGCGGCCAATATGAAATATATTTAGAACAGATGACCAATAGGAAAGATTGTGTTAACCAGTATATCGCAGACAACACAAACTATAACAGTTATATAACAAAAAACTAACACAGTTATATTCCACATTTATGTTGCTGTTATGTGTATCTGACGCAACAAAATTATAACAAAATTGGCGTTACAAAAAATGTAACATTTCAGTTATACAGGGCTTTCATAAATGATTCTAAGGGCGTAGTTGGGCATGGATTTCAAAAATGCCGCTTTGCTGAAATTGTCTCATTTGACAGTTCTCACTTGTCATTGTGCTTGTCATTTGTAACCTGTCACTTAAAATCATCGCTTTTATTGTTCTACCACTTTCCAAGTGTGATTTACAGTAATTCTCGTTGATCCAAGTTTAAAACAACAAAATAGCCTTTCTCAAGGCTCTTGGTGCTTGCGTGCGAAAACTTTGTGCTCGAAGCGAAGACCGTGAAAATGGTTTATTCGGTTGAGCAAAACACTTTCATCGTTATGTCTTATTATCGCAATGGGACATTCGTAGACGGAGCGTGGCTGTATTCTGTAGCCGCTTGTAAGCAAGAATATCTGGCCAATTACCCTGATTTGGAAATTCAAGAAACATCATTAGAGGCTCACATTAGAGATGTCATCAACAGATTTGTTCGCACTGCCAATGTCAACAAAGGGAAATCTTCTGGGAGACCTGCAGTATCTGAGGAAGTTGTTGATGATTTGAGAGAAAGACTCGAGCAGAATCCCCAAACATCTTTGACAAGATTATCTCAACAGTCAGGAGTTCCCGTAACCACATGTCACAAAGTAGTGAAAAAACGATTGCATATGCATCCTTACAAAATAACTACTGTGCAACAACTTTTACCAATAGATCCTCCACGCCGCGTAGAATATTGTAATTGGTTTCAGAATACTTTTCATGATGACGGGTTACTGGACCTTACATTTTTTAGTGATGAAGCATGGTTTCATTTATCTGGCTATGTCAATTCGCAAAATTTTAGAATTTGGTCCGCGGAAAATCCACATGTTTTTGTAGAGACGCCTCTTCATCCTTTCATTGGACTTTTCAATATTTGGATATTTGAAAGACAAAGTGTTTCAACGGCAAATGAATAACTTGGCAAAGTTGCAACATGAAATTGAACGATGGGTTCAAAGCATTGATGGAAGGATGTTACAGAACATTTTTGAAAGTAAGAACAAGAGAGTGAATATGTGCCTTGAACTAAATGGTGAACATTTTCAACATTTACTGTGATGTTTAACCACAATAAATTTGTTTGTTTATTCCATTATGAATTATTTTTATTTTTAACAACAAATTGACTATCAAGAATGTTGGAGTTCCGCGCATGAGGGTAACAAATTACGCCCGCGTAATTTCAAATGTTCAAATTCTATGTCGGTAACCTAATTTTGCATTGAAACGAATCTGTACACAAAAAAAAACAACCAAAATCAAAAACTAGTCTTTAAAATTAGCAACGAAAGTATATTTTGAAGCTTGATACTTAAAATGAAATCACACTACGTTCTAAATACCTATTTATTATGTACAATAAAATTTTTGATAGAACTGAATGAAATCTCAAACCGTAAAAACTCTGATTATCCGTGTCCGTTCACCCATCTGGTGGTCCTTGATTTTATATGACTCTACGATTAGGGTTCAGAAGCTACCCAGCAGTCAAAGTTATATTTGGATTTTTATCTTTTACGTTTATACATTTTCGTTGAATATGTACTTTTGTGGCGGGAAGTGAAATATTAATTTTGTAATATACTATTGTTTTGTGGCTAATTAAAGAATTTCGTGTAATTTTTATGAAAAGGACAATGGACAGATAAAGTTCTATTATTTTATTAAGTAAAAACAAGCACTAGACATGACAAAACATATTTCAGTATGAGCATCCAAAAGTTTGAAGTGTTAACAAAATGTGCTTATTGTGTGAAATAATTTCAAGTACAAATCGACATCTAAGATATTTTCACGGCGACAATTTCAAAAATATTAAAAACTAGCAGAATAATTTGTCCGCTATGCTTTGAAAACTTTCAGCGTTTTCACTTATTAACGAATCATTTCAACATCGTTTATAACATTGAGTTGGAAGTAAAGGATCTACAATTTAAGAAAACGGAAGATTTTTTTTACACGAAAAGCGGATTTAGAGTTAAAAACTAATTCTTTTATATGACGAATTATTATTTTCTACTATGAATGTCAGAAGTAATCTAGCAAATTCTGTTAGTAAATGTAATATACGAGCTCCTAAAATTAGTGGCAGTATCAAAATGCAAGGAGTCTGTCCTTCACGAATTACAGCTCACTTTGATCATTCTTCCTCAGTGGTACTTGTTCAGTTTATTGCTATTCATGTTGTTCATCACAATGATCTTCGCTGTCAACCCCTGACTACAAAAGAAACGACATATCTAGTTGAACAAATTCGCACTGGTGTAACACACGAAAAAATAATTGAAACTGTTAAAAATCTAGAACTCAGTTCATGTACCAGATTTAATCTTCTGACTATGAAAGACATTCCCCACATTGCAGAAAAAATAATATATCTGGTAAATGAAGTAAGGAAAATGTTGTTGTGCATCAGAACATGAAAAATTGCACAAAAATGACTGCATTAGCTTCCATGTACAGTGGGCTGGAGTATATGTTAAAAAAATATGGCGCCAAAATCATTTGTGTAGATGGCACACATGGGACAAACCTCTATGACATTGAATTGACCACAAGTCCATGTGTTAGATGATAAAAATATTGATTATCCAGTAACATTTATTCTGTCCAACTGAAAGGACACCAACATATAAGAGGTTCTGGTTGGTGAAATAAAATCATTAATATCGGTTTTGGTACCCAATTATTTCATGACAGATGATAGTTACAGCTACATATTGGAATGCCTGGAACAATAAATCAGATTCTTACAAAATTAGATTATGTATTAAAAGAAACAGATGAAAATAAATTTATAAGACTGAAGCAAGAGCTGATTAAATTTTTGGTGAAAAGTAAATTTGTGAATTATTTAAACACTTACTACTTTCAAAATAAAGAGTGCATGAAGTCATGGGCCCAGTGTTATCAAAAGAACGCAGGCATTAACACCAACATGCACGCCAAATCTTTGCACAGATCTTTGAAATACAAATATTTTGGTGGTAAACCAATAGAGGGCTGGAAACATATTTAGACACTTTGAAGAAACTACTGAAGGATACATCTTGGTCAAGAATTTCATCTACTTTATGACTTACAGCTATTCACCATGACCTTTTGGTCAGTAAGTCCCATAAACTTGCCACCCAGATAAGTTTTGATAATGTAGCTAAAGAATCTGCTGTAAAACATTTAATGCACTCACAAACCAAAACTAACTTTCATGAAGTAGAACTGATGGATAGGAAATGTAGTTATCAGACATTAAAATGCGTTGTTTGTCAAATTTGTATACACCATTAAAGATACTCTTGCTCTGAGTTCTTAATCAAAAATCATCTTTCTAAGCACATGCATCTGGTATCCATGTATATAAAGGCATATTTAACCACCAAAGGCCCTTGGTCCCACTGGTCATCAGTGCGCCTTCAACTTCTGAAAAACAGTTTGAAAATGAACTACATTTGCGCTTATCTAACTCCGTAACATCGCGCAGAACACGCGCTTCTCGATTTCGCACAAACTGTTTGTGCAAAGCTCTTCTACAGCATCTTTTGATCACGTTCCTCATCTTCAAATGTTATGCAAATGCTTCCTTTTGCCACAAAAATTTGTTAAATTTCGCATTCGTGCATTCTTTAATTGCAGCATTGCAGCCGTTGCTAACATAACCTAACTTTTTATGGTCACCAACGCGTGCTAACTTTTTGAAAGGACACACGGGCGCTTCGCCTCCTGCACTTCATTACAAATATACTCCTAAACGTGGAACTTCTTTTTCCGTGGATGATTTAGTTATTGGAATATAGTGTATATCAACAGCCAACCAAAAATTTCACTTGTTATCGCCAGTATCGCCTTGTTATGTTAGTCACATGTGTATTGACGCATGCGTTTTCGATATTTAATCGTGAAGCATTTAGGCAACCAGTTATACAGATGCATGTGGTGCTTGTCGTGCCCAAGGACACATTTAGTAAAGTACACATAAAGCGAAAGGCGGCACACATCCATAACCTACTGCGACCCTATAATCATTTATGAAAACCCTGTATATATAATGTTATAAAACACTGTTATGATGACGTTATGTTGTAGTTATATAAGAAGAATATAACAAAATTTTGTTGTTATTATATAACACTGTTATAGTGAAGTTGGATCACTTAAGTGTAACAGTGTTAGAAAATACAGTTATAGTGACTTTATGTTTCCATTATATAAGAAAAATACAAGGTGACTGCGAAATATATGCAAAAAAAGGGGGGAATAGCTCACATTACGATTATGTCCCTGCGTAAAATTCACGGTCCTAAGTGGTAGCAGTGTCTAGAAAAAAATATTTGAAATTAAATGTAAATTGTTATACGCGGCGCTGGTAATGTTTCGCGACCTACATAATAACTGCAATGAAGGGGCAGGGGACTCGGAGTAAGAACCAGAAAGTAACTTTATCAGGCACTTTTTTAATCGCAACGTAAAAAACACGAAAAGGGCCAGTCAACATCGAGCAGTCAGTGAAATCGGTGTATGGTGCAGTTTTCCAATGCAGAGTGTGTCGATATGGTCATTGGTGTGCGCGAACATTTGTATCAGTGGTACAGCATCTCCGAGATCATGGTACCTTCAACCTCAAACTCACGATCGTGGCCGTGATAGGACAGAAAGAAGAAGATGGATTTTCACAGCTTGTAGTGCATCCTACATTAAAAGAACACGGTCACATCCATACCATGTTGACAAAGTGCACGGTTTGAAGCCCGCTGATTGTCCACGTTGTGTAACTCACTTTTTGTCCGATGGAACTCCACATAGTCGTCAACAAGTACGATTTCAAGAGACGGTTTTCGATAAAAGTGTATCGGTTGGATGAAACAGTTAGATTGTGGAAATCAATAGTGTCCAGAAATTATCGAAGAGCTTTAACAACAAGTGAAAGTGGGAGCCGCTACTCCAGTGTTTTTTTACCTATCAACAGACATCTTGCGACACTCTGACGCCTGTATTGCTAGTCAAGGACAACATTTTCAACATTTCTTGTAAAAAGGTAGTAGCATTCTAAGTGGCTCTTATTTTTGTTCCAATAAAAGAATGTAAAATCGTTATAGCAAGGACCAAACATCCGTCAGAATCAAAAGTCGATCATCATGAAGTATTACCAAAAAACTTTCGCACTGAACTTTACCGATGAATGAATCCATGAATGAATGATAAGCAGCAAAAAGTCAGTTTTACTTTTAATTGAAACTGAAAGTGTTTACTTTTATTCCAACGTTTTTCCAACTCTGTTTACAAGGTGGCTCAGTGCCTTCGTATCGAGGGTGGTTCAATGGGGTTTTGCCCCATTCGATTTTTAATTTATTTTTTCTATATTTCGACACCACTAGGGTGGGGATGCCCTGGTTAAAATTATTGCATCTATTTCACGGTCACCCTGTATACCAAAAAGGGATATTATATTATAAGACTGTTAAGTTACAGTTACATTACATAAATATAACAGTATTATATAACATTGTGATGATAAGGTTATATTGGAATTACATATAAAAGTTATAAAAAAAAAGTGTTGTCATTACATACACTACAGGGTGTTATTGAAAGGTACGTACAACAAAATGGACAGTTCTTCGCGAAGTCTAAGAAGTCGGAAAAATTTATTTTGTGTTATCAAAATTATAAGGGGAAAATTAACCCTTATCCAACCTTTTTAGACGCTACTGAAGGATAAATAGGTAAAATTAATTTATTTTAGTAAATTCTGGCAACTGTAACAATAAAACTTTTGTCAAGATTAAATGTTACTATAGAAAGGAAAGATGATCTTTTTATCAGAGGCGTACAAGGAATTTGGACATAAATTTTAATAATTTTTATCTCTAAAAGGAGAACACTTTTAACTGAACTTTTTTTAACTTTTAGCACCTATACTTCAAGACCAATTGCCGATTTTATTTTGTACGTACCTTTCAATAACAGGCTGTATAAGTACGAGTCAAAAAAGTAAAAACACAACGAGATCCAAGCAGCCGCTCTGCCTTGGCGTAGAGGGACTACAGGGTGATATAATCCTCAGCGCCCTCTTATGGATCCTCGTATCACTCGATTGCAACCGCTATCTTCTTTTACCCCTATCAGGTGGCACAGCACTGTGACGAGCCGTCACTAAATTCGTTCACGGCAAAATTGTAACTAAAAAGACTAATAACAAATCCCCAAAACATAACACGAAAATTTGCAAATCTTAATTAATTAACACGCATGTCCTAATCGCATATAGTACTATTCAAATAGATAAACAAAAATCAACCAACAATCCCCGAACGCAGGAACAAAATTCGCGTATTCGCAAATTGCGAATAACAGCGCTTGCCAGACATTGCAAATAACTTGTACAGAATAATACGCCATAAACATCGCCAATCGCAATACTTTTATTTAAAATTGTATCCAAACTAAAATAGTTACAACAGGCTAACAACATGTGGTGATGACGACATGAAAAACATGACGCAAGTTGAAAAAACCCGAAGATATACGACACACTAACCAATAAAAAACGTCAGCCGCGGAACCATAATTAAAAGCTAAACCCTATAAAACAGCGAAATAAAACCTAAAATCGAGTACCGAGTAATACACTAATCATGAAGAAATATAGTCCACTAAAGTCGCGAGAGACAAGAATAATGAGTAAAAATCCCTATATAAGCAGTAGCGCCGGAAACGGTTTTAGTTGAAGTTCCGAGTTGTGGTCGAAGACTGCCCAATTTTTCGTCGAGATTTTTATTATTTTTGCTGAATTTTGAAGAAATCCGAACTTAGAAGAATTTGCTGAGCCCGAGAGGAAGATAGAAAAATTCTCAATGCTGCGGCTGTGTAAGTCTACCTTAAAGTCATTCTTGATTCATCTTGCTTTCCATTTTTTTCGTCATGTGTTGTCGAGTTCGAATCGTACATGTGTAGCATTTAATTTATGCGTTTTCTTCGTTACGGCGCCGCCACAGAAAGTAATTTTTACGTCGGTTATTGATTGTTGGGGAGGATTTTCGATAAATTACCGTTCGTTTTTATGGTAATTATTCCAACATTTCCTTAATTTGCCGATTTAACCCTTTTGCTTGCGACATGAATATTTTACATGCGTTTTTTGGGAAGTTCCCGAATTGAAAACTTTTAATTTAATTTTCTAGCAGTCGATTATTTTATGTTGAATTTTTGGCCGTTTAAATATGATCGTTTAATCGTCTCATTGTATTTTAGCGCATTTATGGTACTAATTTCCCAATGTTTAGCTGCATTTATAGACTATGACTGTTCATTTTTGCATGTATTTAACTGTCCCGTAACCGTTAATTTTTCTCGTGAACAAGTGTTGCGCTCGGCGTATTTAGCTAATCAAAGAACGTAGAAATTCATTTATCTCTCTTTTTACATGTTTATATTCATAAGTTGTCTTAGATTTAAGTGCATGATCTTAATTCGTTAATTTTAGCTGATCTTATTATCAGTGGAGATTTCTCCGAATCCACTGAATTATTGGTTTTATTATTATTTTAGTTGTTTAAATGATTTTAATTAGCAGATAAATGCCCAATCGCAGTTTATTAAATAATTAAGTAGATACCCGATTTCATAGTTAGCAGTTTCGAAGTTTATTTATCACGCACGTAATATTAATATTGTTTAGAACTTTGGAAGGTATCGCACTTAATTAGGGATTTACTGAATTAATTTCAAGTTTGCATGATGATTTTTAGGATTAAATTTATTTAAAATCGTGGGTTATGTTAATAGATTTTAAGGGTTTTATTAGTGGAATACAATTGCGTAGCGCTTTAGAAGATAGTTTTGCATGTTGTTTTTTTTGCTTTATTTGTGTAAATTTATTTTCATGTTTTGTTTTTCCGTTCATCATTTACATATTTACTCGATTATTCTTTTGAAATGCTTGTAATCCTTTCTTTTAATATATGTATCGAAATGTTAGAAATGTTTAATTATTACCTCTTCCCCTACATGCAGTTTAGCTCCTCCATTTCCAAGGAAATGGGCCTACACCCAAATAAATAATTTTGTTAGTGTCGAAAAGCTCGGCCGCGGTCAAAACTATTTGGGCACGACAGCACATTTACTTTCCCACACAGCAATATACGTATAAAGGGCAACGGACTCAGCACCGAACCCTGCGGCACTCCACTTTTCACAGCTGTCAGATCACTCAGTGATGCAGAAGAAGATTAACGGACACAGACTTTTTGGGACAAATCCGTGCTGTTCAGCAGAAAGGACGTTGTTCGCAAGCAGAAGCTTTCTTATCTCATCCGAAATAATAGACTCCATGATTTTGGCTATGACCGCAGCGGCAAAATCCGACCCCATCGTCACCACGATACTGTCGTCCGATCGGGATCATATTTGTAAAAGAATCAACTAATATCACAAACGATGAAATTAGCTACATTCGAAATTAAATCGATTCTTTGGGAAATAGTTTATTTACGAGAGAAGGCGTGTCTGCAAGCGTGAAACATTCCATGACATTTACAATGGTAGATGGAAAAGTATGCAATGCTGTCACACAAACAAAGTCTACCATGAGACGTTATATCTCTGGAGCAACATCAAGGTTTTTTAACGACCTTACCATTAAAAAGGATGTGGATGATGAAGCCTTATCATTTGGTTTATCCATTTTGTATGCGAGCATCAGATTATTCGAAAGTATATTACACCTTTGTTACAAACTACCTGTAAAAACATGGCAATTACGGTCCGAAGCTGACAAAACCGTTGTTAAGGAAAGAAAAGCCGAAATATAAAAAGTATTCAGAGAGAAAACAGGCTTAATGGTAGATGTACCTAAAGCCGGCTTTTCCGATCCACAAAAGGCAAGTGAAATAACTGGCGTTGACTTCAACCTAATTTATAAGCTCAAAATTATTTTAGAAGTCATTTCAAGCGGACACAAAGTTAATTTAAAAAGGTTCGCAGATTATTGTTTAGAAACTGCGAAACATTATGTTCCTTTATATCCATGGCATCCCATGACCCCAACCGTGCACAAAATCCTTGTGCATGGTGCAGTAGTTATGGAATGTTGTCCGAAGAGGCTGCAGAACTAAACATTTCAGGATGTACTGAAATAGCTTTGCAAGACAATTTTCAAGGGTGGAATGCAATGTTGACGTCTTGAATAGACTTTTGTTAAGTTTCGCTCCGTTAATAACTACTTTAACTGGGACACGTAACTCGGGTACGCCCATTTAAGCAGGTCAAATCTTCGTGGGAAATCGATGGGCAAAATGGAGGAACCGAATGGCTCAATAGATGTTGATGTAAAATTTAAAAAAATACTTCTTAAAAAACTTTAGTTCTTCTAGACTCAAGTTCTAGAAACTTAGATAAATCGTTTTGAAATATTCAAGCGTTTAGTGGCCATATACTTATCTAGAAACAAAGTGCCTTACACTGTCGGGGCGAATAATTTGATGGTCACTCGTAGCCACGTTTATTTTTGCATGTCATGAGTGAAAATTTCCATTCCCATGCGATAAGAACGTTATTTTGAAATACTAAATTTTAACAAAATACAAATTTTTCGAAGTAAGTTTTCAAATGTTACAATTTTTCATTATTTCACTGACTTTCACTGGACGTATGAATTCTGGTATAAGTAAACAACGGGCAAAATGCTAGACCGTGTAATCTAAACTTAACTAGTTAAAACAAGCATTATGTTCTTTGAGATATGAAAGAGAAAAGAGTTACTAAATACTGTTAATCGAAATTGTGGATATTAGATATAATTATATAAGTACATACAGAGCTCTTGTATGTACGTATTTAAGCCACATTTATGTGTAAATTAATTTTCCTTTTTTGACTTTTGGGTAGGTATTGAAGAACGCTTACCTATCAAGTTTTGACAACATACAGCACCGAGGAAAATTGCTGTAAACAGATTTAACACAGCGCGCATATTTATCGCATTGGACGTCGTGCGAGACTAATCTGAGATTTAATAATATTTTTGATTTGCATTAAAGACGCAAGTGGGGGAACCCTACAAATAGTCGACTATTATAAAATTTTGTGGAGATTACTTATTCTTAGACAAACATGTTGTTGTTGTTTATTGTGACTAGTTGATAAATCGCACTGCTTGGTCAATATGGTGATCCCGTCTTTACTTTCCGTGCGTAAGCTACTACTTTACAAGAGGACTAGGATTTTTCTAAATACCATTCCTTCTCTGAATTTGAAAGGGTCGTTTCAAAATATTGCATTTATATATCTCCATTATTGTTACAATCTAAATCTAAAAACAATTAATTTGGAATAACGTAAAAAGAGGCATAATACAAATTCTTATAAAGCCTCGAAAGTTGTAAATCTTATGTAGATCATGATAAAAAACTCAAAATTACGTTTAGGAAAACCCCCACTGCAAACATCGAAATTGAAGAGGCTATAGAAAATTTTGATTTTTCGACTAACGATGAAGCCTATTATAATCCATACATACCTAATTATAGAAACAAAAACAGTGATTTACAGTTTTCAAAAACAAAACAGTATGTAATAAGCCACATTAGACTCATTGGATCGTAAGTTTGTTGAGTGGTTTATTTGTTTTAAAATAAATAAACTGTTATTTAAGCAGATGTATTTAAACAACTCTTACTGTAAACATCATACGTTAAAATATTCATGTCAATATATTGAGATTTATATCTATATGTGTTATTTTATTAATCTCTACGTCTACAAAACATTGGTACAGGAAACAGTCATATCACTTACAGAGGATAAAAGCATCAAAGAAATTAAACAGAAAATATCCTAGGGCCAAACTATATCTTCTATTCATTTGATATAATTTGAAACTCTCACATAGACTCCAGGACTGCCGGCACAGCCTAGTCCAAACGATGTTACACCTATAATGTCGTACATGTACTTTATCTCATCACCACGGTGATATATTTGTAAAGGATCACCAGAATCTCCCTATAAAGAAAGTTATTTAATATATACTAACTACAAACAAACGTTATTAGCAAATTTAGGTAGAGAGTCAAATTTACCACATTACAACACTTAAGCGTCAATTTCAAGTTGGTCATTTGCGCTTACGCAACTCACTGCTGCAACTTTAGATAGCATAATATGATAAAATTATTTAATTTTGGTAAGGTGTTGTAAAATGGTATGTTTCTGTCTTCGTCTGAAGCACTATATTTAAGCAGGTATCTTTCCCATACTTAAAATGCTAAGAAGTGCGAGCATTCTTTATCAGTGGAAACACAGTACGTCGGACAAAGACTGTAACCAAATCGTACTAGGTTCTAGTGAAAGTGATGGTGAAACTGAAGAGAGATTACACAGATAGTTAATGCAAATTTTGAACTTGAAATTGCATTATAATTTTTGACACAACTAGGGTGTTAAGCGGTGTCGCAGTGCTGCGTCGCAACCGTGAATTACACAATCGCAAATGGCCAAGTTAAAATCGACCCTAAATTGTGTAAATAAGAAATACTAGGGAACGTCTAATCCAAAGTAGTGGAAAAAATCCAGACAGTATAGAGAAAAAAAGTAAATAACTGATAAATTACCTGACACGTGTCATTGTTGCCCTTCACAGAACCAGTAGCGGCTCGCGACTATTTAAGTCGGTGAGGCTCATCCAAGATGGTTATTGGGGTACCGCCGAATACTATTTAACATATAGGTATTCCTACATTATTATAATTTGTCGCGATCAATTGAGGCTTTTAACAATTAAAGTAACTAATAATAAATTAATTCGGAACTGTTGTTGAAAACTTAATTTTTGTATATTAAATCTATACGTCTATCTTTTAATGTGGCATATTTATTTATAATTTCGTCATAAAAGTCTGGTTTTCTGCTCAATTCATTTACTAAGCATTTTTCTATTGACATTAGTGCGAGTCCAGATAAACGTTCTTGTGACATGGTGCTTCTTAAATAAGTTTTAATACGTTTAAGACAGGAAAAATTTCTTTCTGCAACTACGCTGGTTGCTGGAATTGTTACTATTAAAGATAGCAGTTTATTAACTTCAGGAAAAACGTCTTCGAACTCTTTATTAATAATATTTAAACTACGTTGTATATCACTATTTTGGAATTGATCATCATAATATATATTTGATAATTCATTTAATAAACGATCTTTTTGAAAAATTTTTGGGTATGTTTTCATTAATGAGTTCAGTGCTTCATACGGAAACTCGTTGCGATAATCAATATATTTGGCAGAATCCACAAGAGACAAAAATTCTAATTTATTTAGGTCTGTAAATCGCACGTCTAACTGAAATGTGATACAATCTAAAATTTCATAAAATAAAATGCAGTAAGTTGTAATTAACTCTGCTTCATCAGTTACTTTCCCACGTTTGTTTGGAATACCAGTCCTCAACTTTGCACACTCAAAAATTGTTGTAAAAGTTATCTCGTTCCTCAGTGACTTAATGCGTGAAACAGCCATATTTATCTGAGAAAAACAGTATTTCACATCTAAAACTTTTTTCTGCAGAATTCTGAACAAGGGATCAGTTATTATAAAAATGTTATTATAAATTACAGTGAAAATAGCAAAATCAAAGTCCTCAAAACATTTCAAGAAACCCTGAGCCTTTGTAATAGACTCTATTCCAGAGGACTTGTCATTAACAATCGTTTCAAAAACAACCTTAAGCTTATCCCACTCTTGATGAACCAAGTTAACAACTTTTGAACGTGTGCACCAACGGGTTTCATTAGCCTGCGGTATACTTCTTTTTAAAATGTTATTTAAAGTAAATGTTCTTTTTGGAGATTGATTAAAAAAAGCCGGAATACCTAAAACTGTTGCAAAAAAAATTCTAGCTTTGGAAATTCCATTAGTCCCTTGCTGCAACACTAAATTTAATCTATGGGCCGCACAGTGAGTAAACAAAGCAGAAGGAACCAGAGATTTAATTTTACTTTGGAGACCGTTTAATTCACCCGACATCACACTAGCTCCATCATAACATTAAGCGATTAATTTATTTTCAAAATCAAATGGTTTCAAAACGTTTATTAACAGTTCAAATAAAGCATTGGCCGTCCGGTCAGCACTTGCATCATGGAATCCTAAAAACCGTTCTTTTAATTCGCCATTACAATTAACAAATCGCAGAGTAATTGAACACTGGGACTTTTCAGATATATCTGTAGTATCATCAGCTATTACAGCAAAAAATTTGGAATTATTTATTTCTTTTTTGATAAAATCATTCAAATATTCAAATTAATTCATTCTGAATAGTTTTCGATTGACCGGTAAAAATGTGACTAACTTTTTTCGCATGTTCACTTAATTCCGAGTTACGTTTAATCATGCAGTCAAAAATTTCTCTGAAGTTACCGCGATTAGCCGAATGGGTGGATTCATCATGTCCACGAAATGACAGTTCTTGTTTTCCTAATAGCAAAGTTACATCAATTAGGTAAGTTAGCAGCTGCCGATTTTTCCTAACGTTTTCGTTGTATAAAATTTTATTTATGCTTGCATGTTCTTGCACAGCATCGGATATTGTTGACGTGTTTCGTTCGACGCGCTTAAGGCCCATACAATTTTTAATGTGCTCTTTGGAATCATTATGTAGCTTTGTACTTCGCGAGATGTTTTTTAAATCAAAATAACCAGTGGTATTCCATACATTTTTAACATTACCTAATAATAAACAAGGCCAACAATACAGTCTGTTAGTGCATCTACTACCGCATAACCACTTGTGGCTTTCGTACCATGAAAGCTGAAATGTTCGGCAATAGGTACGTTTTTGAGTTACGTTTTTCTCTGGACAATTAAGTTCGATCTTATGCGTGGGTCGATACTGTAAAATTTCCCGTTTCTCACTTTCACTTCGCCTTGAAAAAGGCGTTTCGAGCAGAGACATAACAATGTCGTGTTGGGGATTCATTTCAAAGTAAACGAATAGTATACACTGGAAAGATCCTACCTTTGATTTAAATGCCTTGACTTTGGACAACCTGTATCTACCTGAGTACACCGTACACCTGTGTAAACCTGTTCGTTCGAAAGTAGCGACCAACACACGCACAGCACCGTAAAATATGCGGGAGAATGCTTTAGAATCTTGCAAAGATGCAACTTGCTCGTGATAATCACGAATGGTTTTAGAACCGACGATGGAGTGGCCGAACATTTCCGAACAAGTTTTATCTTGTTTTTAAGCTCAAAGACGACAGCCTCATTTCAGCATACTAAAACATATCTGCGCGTGCGTCACCAATGTACGCTGCATGCGAAAATAAAGGTAGAACTGAACCGCAAAATTCTGAGCCTCTCGTATCAATAATTTCGAATTTGCGGGACAAAAATCAGTGAAAAATATATATTTTTTTTGTATAATACGTGACTTTATTAATATTACGAAGCTGTATCTGAATTTTGGATACTGATAATTATGATGTCTTGTTGCATAGGTGAGGCTCAGCCTCACTTGCCTCACCTGGCGAGCCGCCTCTGCACAGAACCTGCACAAACCTGGAGATTATCTAGAATTCCTTGTGTCACTCTCCTATGGTTCTGATAATATTGGCTACATGTACTTTGATTAAAAAGATCAAGGACTACTTTGAGTAAATCGTTGCTAGTAGCTCCATTAAAAGATGTGTGGCCCCATCCTGTTGCAATGGCTCTTTTCTTTGTAATTTTTGAGTCTAAATAAAGACATGCTGGTCGCGAGAACGAATTCAGTCTAGCCGCTTTTTTTAATCGTAGCAGTCCAATATCATGGCAATGAGAGTCTACCCTGTATTCAGGATGAGGTATCCGCTCAGCTATCTTTATTTGTTGTCTACGGTACCTATCGGTGAGTCTGGTTATACCAAGTCTTACCCATAGTGCATTCCCTCTGTGAAATGTTAAAAACTGTATATAGGCATCCCAGACAAAATTCCGCAGCCTTATAGCTTGATAATAGATAGATATTTGAAATTTTGTAAACGCCATTGTTCCTAGGTTGAAGGGAGAATCTTAATTTCGCACACCTGAAATATGTTGCATGTATGAAGTCGGTGTCTTGACGCAAATCAATGTTTTTTTTAACTGAAAAGTACTTATTTTTAATGGATTTTAATAGATCATTAAATTACGGTTACAATTATGCACAACACACATATGTGATTTATTAGTTTTAATTGCAAAAATAGAAATGATCTAAATGAAGATATATACCTACCGAATTGTCATAGATTGTCATGGAAACAGATGTGCTAACACAATTAAATAACTACTGTTAATTTTTAACGTCAGCTCAGGTCAGGTCGCCTCAGGACTGCTGGAATAGTTTTTGCTGCTTATCGAAAATTGTTCATTTTTAATTTAAAAAAATATATATGCGTACTTGTACACACCGGCTAATACCGACAATTATAAAATTACGTGCATCGGAGGCAAATGTCAGCAAATACCAAACTTTATGGTGGTATTAGAAACGTTGACCAAATAAAACGTCATCTAAATTCCAAATTTCCCGACAGATCTTCTGTCATAAGTAGAACCTCAACCAAAGGGTGAGAAAGCCCGGAGTCTTGATTTCAAAGTGTGAACCAACATGGATTTATTTATTAGAATAACTTTTAAAACTCATAAATTTGGCCCAAATATGTAAGTAGTAATTAAAAATTTTTTATTTTTTGGAAAAGGACCAGACCTAACTTAAAAAAATAATAACAAGCAAAAAAAGTAATACCATACAGCAAGTGAAGAGGCAACGAAGTTATTTCGGTATGTTACAAAAATGTACGATGCATGCGCAATAAAAGGTTGTAATGGAAACGTACTTAGAAGTACAAAAAGTCAATATCAAATACTTCCCAAGCGTAAGCGAAAGAACTATTGTAATCGAGTCCCTCGACCTACTCTACATTTACGTGTTCTCGACCTTCGTGACCCCTACAATACAAAGAAATAAGTATCCCGTTTCTGTCTGTCTATCGTGATAACCTCTATACATTAAAATAAATATAGATTAGTAATACTAATAACCACCTAAGAAGGTAAATGAGATCATATAAATTTGTTTTGATACCCTATATTTTTTTTCTGTTTCTCTACCACATTTCACTTATTTTTTAATGACACACTAAGTATATATTTTTTAGAGACATTATAGAGCATGCTTTTTTTAATTCACTAATGTATCATACTTTAATCACAGACGCCCCGCTACTGTCCACTGTCTAGCATTCCAACACATTATGTTAGGAAAACACACTTGTTTATACCTGTTTATCAAC